GAATTACTTAGACTATTTATCAAAAATAACCAGTTCTTTGAATTAACACGTTTTTTGTTTCTTCTGACGCTGAAAAAATCTCTAAAAAACAGCGCATACTACAATCGTTTTTTAAATTCTACTTCTGCCGAAAAAACCTTGAAAAACGGCTTCTATCTACTTTTACATTCTTCTCACGCCGAAAAAGCTTTATGAAACGGCGGCGATCCTTTTATAAAAAATGCGCATATATATATTTACATTTAAACAGGACATAAAAGAGCCAGCAGCCATATTGACATTTTTTGATGTAAGACCAATTTAACAGATTTTTAGAAAAGGCATCTGTATTTTCCTTATTGTGAGTAGATCTACTTTGTACCTTTGTTGGTGCTGTTTCTTCTATGGAGACTTCTGCAAAGCCAGAGAAGATGAAACGCTGTCCGGAGCAAAAATGTGTTTGAAAAAATAAAAATAATTGTCTTTGTCTTGGGCCTTTTGTATCACGTCGGAAGGTCACCAAATTGTGAATAATCCCAGACGTAAGACAAAACGAGACTTCGACTGCGTAGTTCAATAGTTTTATTGTCAGAAGGTTTGAGCGTATTCTGATCAAGCATAACGCAGCTTCCCGTCCTGTCTGGCCTCAGAAGTCTAGTGGGCAGGCAAAGGCTAACCCCTTATATACATTGTAAATGATTATATAAGCATGACTATGCAGAAGAGAACGTATGGTTTCAACGTACAACTGTGATATAACTGTTTTGTAATGGAGCAAACTCCAACGTACACCATCCATACTGCACATGTTTACTGTTTGTTCTGTCTTATCTGTTTCCATGCTTTTGTAAGCAGTTCAAAGTACAGTGTAAGCCTCCCAAACTCTACTGAACTTGTTTAACATGACATTTCAGCAAGCAAATAATTATTAGATATTCACAGGGTCTCAATGGGTCTTCCTCTTTTGTTTTGCTGGAGGGTGCCACTATTTATCAGTGCACGAGCCACAGAAGCTTTGAAGAGGAGGAGTCTCATCTTTTCCAAACCAGACATCAGGTAGAGGCGCCAGGCATTTACAATGGTCACATCCAAAAAATGAAAAAACACTCGGATGTACCACCTCTTGTTTCGACGTCTGTGGGGGCTCATTGCGAGACATTGGTCAACAAGATCAACCCCACCCATGTGTTGATTGTAAAGAGCCACAGAGAAGGGTTTTTGGACCATCATCATTGTTTTATCCTTCTTCACCCATCGGTTGGCAACATCTTCAGGGGACTGGCCAGCACAGGACGAGACCATGTGGACGACTGAATTGTCGAGCCAACGTGTGACAGTGATGTTTGCATTATTGCTGACAACAGAGCAAGCTCCTCTGCCCATTTCTTTCAGTTGTTTTTGACTCTTCAGTTTCTGATTTGCTCCCTTCAGCCTGTTTGCCCTGCATGTACCAGTGCCGTAGATGCCTTGGTCTTTCAAGGCTTCTATGAGTGGAATGCTGCAGAAGAAGTTATCAAAAAACACCTTGCGATTTTTGTGTTTTATGTCATCACAAAGACGCATCACCACATCTCCAGCCATTCCCAATCCACTGATGCAACCACTACTTGCAGAACCTTGGTACACTTCGAATCTATTTGTATAGCCTGAGGTTCCTGCCCTCACCCACACTTTCACTCCCCATGGTTTAGGTTTTTTTGGTATGTATTGTTTGATGGACAGTAGACCTTTGAAAGGAATGATCTGTTCATCAACTGACTGAAATTCCTCTGGGTCTGCTGCTGCCTTGAATGTCTCCTGAAGTGCACTTAGGAATGGTCTTATTTTGAAGAGCCTATCCATGTTCGCTTGCTGGTAAGTCAAGTTATCAACAAAGTGTAGGTATCTCAGGATTTGCTCATATCTGTTTACAGACATGGCATTTGCAATTATTCCAAGACGAAGGCCATCCTCACTAGACCAGTACATTCGTGCCCTAGGATACCGAATGTACCCCATGATCAGGTTGATCCCTAAAAAAATCTGCATTTCTTCTCTTGTCACTGCCAGATTTTCTTTCCCTTTCTGGAGAGCATACAAGTTGGTGTTGTATGCTATATCATCAATGAGATCTGCTGGAAACAGATGCCTGAAGAAATCTATGGGATCTTTTCCCTCCACATTCAATTTCCACTCTCCTAGAAAATGAGGCAGGTCTCCATCAAAGTCATTGTCTTGGACTTTCCAGATATTTTTGCGGGCTTGAGTATGGTCAGGTGCCATGTGCCCATCTTCCACAGCTCCCTGATCATGCTGAACTTCCTCTGCATCCTGACCCTCATCATCCTCACTTTCTGCATCCTGACTGTCTGTATCTCCATCATCCTCAGCTTCCATGTCTCTGTTCTTCTCTGGCAGCCACTCTTCATCACTGATGTCACTACACTCATCATCACTGAATTCATCATCACTGGAGCTGGATGGAATTTCCTGGACTATTCTGTACGCTGCCTTGTTCTTTGCTGCATTTGAACTCTACAAAATATGATAAAATAATTAATATAGTAACTCAAACTACATCTAATCTGCATAGAAATGTATATTCAAATGAATAGATTGTAAATATAACAATTATACACTGATTTATAATCAAAACAGTCACAAGAAACAGTGAGGCAATGTATGTCTTGTTTAAAAAAAATATTCTTGGTAATGCATGATGTCCACTTCATTGGACATATGGTTAATCGTACTTTTCTAAATATTGGACATACAAATTTCATATTCCAAACAGATAATATCCTTCCCTAGATGTTACTGTAAATCATCATATTTTTTTTACCAGTGGGGCTCTTCCAGAATAGAAGGATTGACAAGATATGCCAGCAGTGGTCGGCAGGGGTGGCTGTTTGTCGGCCATCTTGGATTCAGAGGAAATTTACTTGCAGTTACACCGACTGAACACTGAATTGACCTCAATAGAGTATGGCAGCAGAGAGCACTCTAGAGGCTGATATGCAGTTAAACCATAGAAACCAATGCATTAAAGAGAAAATGACATTTTAGTAGCTGTCCACTGCAGTGACCGTTATGCACCAGAGGGTTAAATATACAATTACATGTTAGATATTAGCACAATGATAAAATGTGGAATAGAACATAGGCATTGAATCATATAGAAAGCAAGTCTATATATTTAGTTAATTATCATAGTTATCTAATTATGATAAGCTCCTTCTCTCTGTGGACCATCTCTGCTGCGCGGTAACTATAGTAACGTGCGTCGTGTTTGGTCTTGGCTCCTTCAGTTCTCTGCTCGCTCCACCAGTGTAATAAAACTATAACAACTACCAGTTTTATCGACTTTACTTTTTAAGACAATGACAGAAATGTTATGTAGGTGGCTGAATGAAGACCTACGATTGTCTCAAGTTGTTGGTGAGTTTTTAATGATCGATCTTGTGATGTTAGCTAGTAATGTAGCTAGCTAAGCCACTTAGAAGGCTGACGTTATCTGTGACAAAAGTGAGGCTGAAATTGTAAAAAATGTCTTTGCGTTATTTTAAGCACCCGGCTTCCTACATTTTCCTCTACAATTTTCTTCCATCTTCTTTTTGATATTGTTGTTAAGTTATAAAGTTCCAGGGCTCCACAGTTTGCCTGTTTCACATAAAACGTGTCTATTTTTATTCTATATGAGCTCAATTCTTATAGTATAGTTACCCCTATCTGGAACCTTGCCTTTTCTCTGTATGGACGTCTTGTTCCCACCTCTCTGGAGACCCAATCATAAAGGATTCATTTGTATTTCGCAAACTCCAATATTAATAATAATAACAATAATATATTCTTGCTCATTTCATTGCTGTTATTATGTAATGAAAACACATATTTGAATTGATTTTCTTTTTTATTCTAATACATTTGGATATAAATACTGACTATTGCACCTACTAGAAGATGCTCCAAAGTTCTATATATCTGCATAGACTAACCCTCCTGCATCAAATGAACTTGATGAGATCATTTTATTTTGATGTTGACGCATTGTGAAGCTCTACCCTGAGCTATATTTTCTCTTCATTCACAGAGCCAAGGACTTTCACAAAGGCTTTTTCCAATGGCTATCTACTTGGTGAAATCCTTCACAAATATCAGCTTCAAAGTGATTTCCATATGTTCCTGAAAAAAGAGTAAGTTCAAGCCTGGATATAAAATTCGGTCCACAGTATATTCTGATTGAGACCATATTATATTTAATTCAAGGAGATCTATATCAATGTTAAACAACTTTACACGGCTTGAACCAGCTCTCCATTTACTTGGAATTTCATTCAGTGCAACCGCTGCCCAAGAACTGATGCAGAAAAAACATGGGGCAGCAGAACACCTTGTTCAACAACTTTATATTTCACTGGAAAATAGAAAGAAAAATACTTTCCCCAGTGGAACAGAGAAGTTCCCTGTTGCTGCAGCCGGTCTGCCCAAACATGTGCAAGTAAGAACCTATTTTATTGTCCTATACTTTTTTTAGTGATATTACAACAATATGCAGAATTTGTGACTTTTTCTAAATATGCAAAGTGAGCATATTTATTGTCATATTGTGTGTCTATGCTTCAGCTTCAAAAAGAACCGAGACCACCCCGACATTTATCACAACTGAATCTAAAGGCACAACAGCAACGGCAAAAGAAACTAGCACAGGTCTTAGTTTTGTCATTATACCTATTAATTGGATAATTATTTTATACATATGGCTCGAAATTTATCTTTGCAGGACGTCCAGAATGAAATCGCTCAGTTTGAAAGTTACAGAAGAAAGCTGCCATCTTCGGCTTTAAAGTGTGACTTCTATTTGGCTGTTATTCATCTCAAGTATGTTTGATACCCTGATTTTCTTACTGCACATTGTTTGTGTTTTTTATTATAGACATCAAGATGGGTGTAGCCCACTCACTGATGGTTCAGGAGCAGTGTTCAAACCAGTGCCAAACAGTGCCTACATACAGAAAATTCGACAGAGAATTAAAGAAGACACTATGACACGAGAGCAAAGGGACAAAAGGGTTGACCGATTCCTTGTGGAGCAAGCTAAAGCGAAACAAGCCGAACAGGTAATCACTCAATGCCAATGACCCCCTTTCCTTCTTATAAGGACTAACAATTATTTTGACTACCATGGCCGTTTATACATCATTCTAGAGCAAATTATCTCAAGTAAACAACCTAAAATGTAAAATGTATTGTATTGAAACATTGAATTCCTACTTATTCCTACGATTCCAAATAATAATAATAATAATTTACAGTGACGCTAAACTTTTGGTGCAGGATGCAAAACATGAGGAGTATCTGTTGAAGCGGTTCACAAGATCAACTAAGCAGGAGCAATGCCTTGAAGCACAACTCTGTCACATCAGAAAACAGAAGGAAGTCATCATCAATCACCGGCTGTTCAGAGAGCAGCAGGTTCAGCAGAGGAGGGAAAAAGACTCCCAGGAAGCTGCGAAGAGGGCAGCGGTGAGATAAACCGACGATGAAGACCCACATTTCTTTCTGCTTCTCTTTTTCTGTCTTGTATCTGTCAAAATGTACTTGATGTGTAGGACAATTATAGGCTAAATTTCATGCTATGTGGTTATTATTCTATAGTCACTGTAGGTGAGACACTGAAATGGTATAGATTCAGTGTTTACTCATGTGTAAAGTATAGTAGAGTATTGTTGTTCTACTCTAGCCACAAAAAGCACTCTTTTCTGTGATCTGTACAATAAACAACTCATTTCTAATCTTTAATCTTCTCTATTTAACTTTCCACTACATGTCTGATATTTAATCTGTGCCAGGTAATAACTGAACAGGAAAAGATGGCCCGTTCAGAGGAGATCAAATGGGAGCTTGACTTTTGTAAAAGGCTTGATGCTGATCGAGATCAGGTCATTTACCAGGAGCATGCAGAGAGCTGCAAGCAAATAGTGGATCAGATAGTGGATTTGGCCACGAAGGTTGGAGAATGCCGCTTCGTTTATGGAAAGTATGTAACACAGAACACAGTATCATCTAATCCAGTTTCATTCTTGCATTGTATATGCTCTGACCTGCAAGCACAATTTAAAATGGGCATTTCAAACAAAAGAAAGTCTGTACTGGTGTATTACAGATACAGTAACTGGCTATATTGAATGGTGATATGAAGACATAGGGTTTTCCATAGCCCGGATTTTATTTTATTTTTTGTAAATGCATTAACTTTGAATACCTTAATTTTTTCTTTCATTTCATATTTTTGGCACATGTTCAGTCCAGTTCCAGGGAAACAAATGAAAGAATGGAAGAAAGTGCTGTTCAGTGGCCTGCCTCTCTATGAGCCTTCAGATGTGGGGGTCCAAGAGCGGTCTATGGACACAGATTCTGTAGAGATAAAGAAGATGAACATACTCAACGAGCTGGATTATGATGAATATACTGTAAGTTTTCATTGTTGCAGTATTAACATTACTACAGGAGACAAAAAGGGTTTGGTTATACTGTACGTTATTTTGTCAGAATATGGCAGGTGAATGGGTCTGGCCTGAAGAAGACCAGGAGACAAAGCTCCCTTCGAAAAACAACCACATTCTTGGCCATGTGGTCGCACGGCTTAGGAACCTGGTTGATGTCCCCTGTGTCAAAACAGATAATTTTCCATTTCCAAACTTTAAACTCAAAGTATGTGTTCTGGGCAAGTTGTGCTCTGGAAAGACCTTATGCCTGGATAAACTTACTCAGTGTAAGTAACAATAACAACAAACTTCACTGTTTGAATTAAAATCAACCACTTCTCCTTTTTTTGTTTACAATGACTATATGTTTTCTCAGCCCATGGTTTCCATGTACTATCCATACATGACCTTGTCAATGAGGCATTAATTGTGAACAGAACTGAAGACAGGGTATGCATTTAGTATTTTTTTACTATGACTACTCAATTTGTTAATTTTGTTAATTTTTTGTGTGTTTTAGTTAACAGAGCAAGAGTTACCAGACAGTGAGAAAGAGTTACCTCCAGGAGAAAGTAAATATAACCACCCCTTTCTTTAATTATGTAATATTCATTCATATTCATAATATTCTGAAACAAATATTATATATATTTTTTATCTATTTATAATAAGGTTGCAACTTGACAGAAGATGTAGCTTGTATTACGGTCTGTATTTTTTTCTTCAGATAGAAAATAGAACATATTAAAACAAGGATTATGATTCTTATCCTTGTATTTATGAATTAGCCTTCCACACACGCTATGCATAAAGAAGAGGCATCAAATAGAACGATGGAAGAAGAGTGTTTGCCCTTGGAGTTGTTAGAGAAAATTATAAAAGAGGCCATACAGTAAGTATTAGCTCCTTATTTGCAATAGAACTGTTTTTCAACAAACATATACCTTCTCACAGTAAGATTCCAGCCGATTCATGTTGGATTTTGGATGGATTTCCACGGAACATAATCCATGCACACTTGCTTGAGAAGGCTCTGGGTGGGAGTGTAGAGGAGGAACAGTGCACAGACGATTGGATGAGTTTAGCTGTAGATCCACATCCTCCTGAACCCCCCCCACCACAACCCCCCGCTCTGGACCTGGCTCTGCTGCTCAACGTCTCTGATGAGTGCTCCGTCAGCCGGGCGCTCCACTGGGCATGTGCGTACGCTTTTACACTGCAGGACGGGGCTGCCACACACAACACTATACAGAGTAGCAGAATTGTACATGAATGTAAGGGGCCGATGGTGCGACAGGAAACACACAAAGCATGCAAATATTTAGGATTTTTAATTTCACAAAAATCTGACAAAACTGACATGACACAATTTTCTATATAGCAACCTGGCGTCCCGCAAACGTACATACATATTTCTTATATCTTATTCTTTTCAATATTTTATTCTATTTTTAGTAAAGCAACGACAATAATAAAACATGAAAAATAAAATTATCTGTACAAATAATTCAATGCAACTCTACAAAATGTAATATTGTGGAAGCATTCCAAATAAGCCTTGTTCAAAAAAAGTCATGGCTTAAATTACTTTTCTTTAGATTATTTCTGTTATTGAATTCAGTAGTCCTCTATCTCTTATAAAGTTTCATATAAAATGTTGGTACCTAATGGCATAACATAGATGATTTATAATCCAAACACATTCAAACATAATTTAACTATTTTTTACTTTTACTGCTGAATAAATATTGGAAAACAAAATCCCCAAAGATTCACAAACTTGTATTCATATTTTCCTCTCTCACTATTTCCTCTCTTGTGCAGATGCTGCAGACGGCAAGCCTGATTACGTGTACATGTCACAGATTGCACAAAGGTAGCAGATAAAACAAAGAAATATATATGTTGTTTTATCTCATACATAACTTGTGTGAACATCTTCTTTAAACCCCAGGCTTTCTGACTTCAACGAAGCGTGGCCAAAACTTGAAGAGTGGTTTGAGGCAAAGCAGAAGATTTTAGTTCGTGTCGATGCGAATGTGGATGAGGAGGAGCTTTTTAAATGCGTAGAGTCAATTCTCCTGCAGATGAGGAGAGCCCTTCCTGAAGGTAAATGTGGGTCTTGTATATCTTCTATGATGGTGTGTTATTTTTTTATGTTTCTATTCTGAAAATAGACATTGTTTTCAATTAAATAAAAATCTTCTTTTTGTAAGGGACAGATTCTCCTACGCCTTCCTTGGATCAGACAAATCTCCTAAAGTCCAATAAAATTGAAAAAAGGGACAAGATTCAGATGAGCACCGATATCTTGGGAGGTATTCATAGTTAAAATAAAATATTACTGAGAATAAATTGAATGATTTTGTGTAATTGGATAGTTTGTTAGACATGTTCAAGATCAACAGTGTCGTTTTTAGTGGAATGAACAAGGATGTGACTCCCTGGAATTGAATAATGTATAATGGCTGGTCGACATATGCACCTATCAAATCTTGTGTTTATGATAGAAAACCTTGAAATATAAGGCTTTGATTTAAACAAAAATAAAGTCTTGATTTTTATGTTATTTAATTCTGGAGATTAACATATTTGTGCCAAAAGACAACAAAGATGAGTTTTATTTTTATTTTTTTATAGCGCCTTCAAAACTGACCTGCAGCTCAACGTATATTGACAAGCCACTGCCACCAGTAAGACACGCTTTACAAATGTGTTTACTTAATACCATATCTGATTATATTTTTCATTATTTCTTTATTTTTTTACATTTTCAACCACAGGGAATTCCAGAGGCTCTCCACATCCATTGGAAGAATGTGTGTGAAATGTATGTGAACGGCGTAAAAGCCATATTACAAGAACTACGCCTAGAAAGCACGATGATAAAGGAACACTTTTTCAACATCAAGTAAGATTACATTCCATCTGGTTCAAATCCTGTTTTTATCTGATTACTGTCTGTTAACTTTTTTTTTACATTACTTTTGCAGAGAGGAATATAAACATTATTTAGGTCGACCAGACTTAAGGCAAGAAATTCTGTCCCAGTGGCAAAAGGATTTCAATCGAGTGTCTGAAGACATGAGGAGTGATGAAGAGACCAAAGCAGAGCTGCATCTCAGGCTTCAGGTAAGTTATGTTTTCAAGTGATGATTATGCATTAATCTCACACTAACTAAAACAACATTATGCATTGATATTTTTAGGAACTTTGTGAGCGTTTGTGGAATATCTGTGAAAAACGTAAAGAAGAGAATGAGCAGGAGAGGGCTGATGTCATGGACGATAAATGGTTTTCCGATCACACGGCTCTGTTGGTCAACTACCACTCAATGCTTACACAGGTTCAGTTTTAGTCTTAATTACTGCATCAAATTAGTATTATGATTTCTAAAACACAATCTTTTTTAAGGTGGAGCTGGACCGATTTCAGGACACCTTTTGTATTCTTAAAAAATATTATATGAGTATGGCCAACAAGCCACGGGCCGAGCTGCCATCAAACCTAACCACGCTTTCTCTCCTGGATACTTCAAACTTACAGGCCTTGGAGACACAATCTCAAGAGAGTGAAAAAGACCAGGTATGATAACAGCAAAAAAACAGCATTTAATCTTGTAGGTGGGGCTGCTTTGTTTGCTTCGTTTTCATGTTTTTTTCTTCTATTTTTGTATTTAAGCCCCAAAACCAACTTCCGCGTCAGTATAAAGTGGCAATCACAGCTATCAACAGTCTTGTAAGTTTAAGGAGATAAGCTTTCCTCACAAACCGGGCTATGTGTGACGCATATGTATGTGACTGTAGTTACCATCAGCAGCCCAGCAGAGGGAAGTAGACACAAAGCTTCTGGAAAAAACACAGGAGAAGTCTTCAGTTGGAGGCAACATTTGCAAAAAACCTCATTCGGCAAAGAAAAAGAAAGGTTTGTTTTGGACTTTTAGAGACAAATGAGAATATCCTGATGACAAAATATATATAATGAATAATGTTAACATACACTCTTGTTAGGTGTTCCATCACCACCTCCAGCAGCAAGTCCTGACCCACCTGAAGTCAAACCCACAGACGGGTCAATGGAAGAATACACTGCTGCTCTGCATCATGAGGGTCAGAACTCATGCATCTTGCGTTGCTTTTACAATATGCTGTAAAAATGTATTCCTGGGTGGAAGTTATTTGTGTGTGTGGGTTTCAGAGGAAGGTGCAAAGATGCGGATTGCCTTGGTGAAGGGTCACGGCTTAAACTTGGTCAATTTTGTTCAACAAAACACAGAGCAGACTCTCTGCTCTATGGAAGAGTGGACAAATGAGCATTTTGAAAATGAAATGAAAAGGTAACTTGTGTGTTAATGTCATGGTTGTTATTAGAAGAACCTTAGTGTTGGAGTGAATAATATAGACATTTTAATCATGGTTTTATGTGTATAATTTACCATAGGATTGAGGAACTTGCACAAGTGGTGCGACACCACATAGAGTGTGGCTCTCAACTACCATATGAGTTAGTTTTGGTGTGTAATTTCTTATTCTTTCTATTTTGATGTAGATTGTGGTCTTGGCATTTAATAATAATTCAGTTTTTGTTCTAGGATTGTACTAATTTCTATGTTAATGCTGATTCCAACATGATGGCTCCTGCGCCTCCTCCTCCTCGTCCTCCATCTTTAGAAAAGCCTTCACAGAGCTCTCTGTCTATTGTTCAGCTGGAGTCCGTCTGTCAGCAGTTCAGACATGTTGCTCCTCGAGGTAAGCACAGAGCAGATTCTCAAACTGACTCCAATGATACAAATAAACAAAATCTTTCAGTATTGTAAACTTTCTGTGACCTTGATCTGTGACGTGCGCTGCACAAACACAGATGATTCACTGACTGTTCTATAACATAATTTAAACATTTTGCTCTTTTTGATGATGATATTTTTTCTTATTGGAACGTAGGAGTTATGTCCATTTCGGACTTTTCCACTTTGCTGAAAGCGATAATGAATGCAAACAAAGGGAGACACACCCTGCCTGAAAACTGGGTCACAATGATTGAAACGCGGGTAGAATATTCAGATAAAATCATTTTGATATTTTACCGTATACAAACATGTCTAATACATGTTTTTTGAGTAGTTACCGGAGATTGTGGCTTCACTTAAAGATAAACAAGGTCTAGTTAACTGGCGACGGTTTGTGTTGGGATGTGCATTGCCGTGGCCTTCACCCTCGATAACACAGCTGCTGGACGCTCTGCAACAGTTCAAGGCTAGAGACGTTGAAAACACTGGACATATCAACGAGGAACAATATCTAAAGGTCGGTCTATTCAAGAATGAGTTACTGCACAAACTGGATCGATGATGAAGAATTATATTAGTCTTTCACCTCAGAAATTAAAGATTTAATATGTTGTTTTTCATAATACCAGACACTGCTGTGGTTTCCACAAGAGACGGCTGTGGCAATCCCAGAGGACCCTTCTACACCTTTACCTTATAACCGTTTATCTAGTCTGTTCAAGGTAAGTGACTGGCAAATGTTATTTCAAAAACTTTAATACATATTAATTCAAGATGCGATTTTAACACTAAAGTAGGTTGTTATATTTACCATATTAAAATACCTTGAAGAAGCTATTCAAATTAGGCCAGTGGAATGCAACTATAGTGCACAAATGTCTTCAGTTAGAAAATGTTGAGCATAAACATTTTGGCACCCTCTGACCATCTTCTGCCAGAGGGAAGAAGTTGGAACATGGCTTTTTTAGGTTGGCTGTATCAGTTTGAACAAAGCAGACAATCTTGCACTTGTATTGGAGCTGTTTTTTGTTGATTGTCTCGCTTGTTTTATTGATGTACTTGTTTGGGGACTTTTGTACATGTATTGCATTGTGGTTTTACTACAAATGCTAAATCTGAAATCCTCCTCTCAAGACAACAAGAGACAAAAGAAAGATATTTTTCATATTATTTTACCATGATTGCGTTGAATATGAATGAAAAACAATAAAGTATCCTGGTTTAAGTTTTCTATTATTTAAAACAAACACTTTTTTCTCTATTAAATAAATAAACAAACAAATAAAATGTTGCATCATATTTTACACTTCAAAAGAATGAGCTTTGTCCTTTACAGTTCTTCCTCCGGATGTTTGCTGACCACTCCACCAGCCCACCGTGTCTCAACTACACTTCAATGCTCCTGTATCTCGCTGCCGATCCAAACCCCAAGAATGGTTTTGTCCGAGCGCTGAGTGTGGTGGTAGGACAGCATCTCAAGCAGATGTCATCAACCCAACTTGTCAAGGTGAAAAACATATAGTTAACCTGCTGTTGCTTTTTTGCCAATGCTTCTCAACGGCCAAATCTTAATCCTCAACTCTGTCCATTACGGAAACCTACAAACTCCAAGTTCCATGAGAGTTGTGTGTTGTGTAGAGGATAGTACAGGCTACTGGGCTGCTATATATCAGCAAAAATCAGATGTATGTGTTTGTCTTCATAGTCTCTGTGGGCTGGTTTGGTCAGACACGAGCATTTATGAAACCGGCTGGCAGGTTTTAGGGCTGCCAGCCCTCCTTCTGGTGTGTTATGGGCATGTGTTTTATTTTGAGCATGGTTCGATTTTCATTAAGTCCCCCTTGTAATAAGCAACATCCCATCTACTGCTAAAAGTGGAAAATTACATTTAGATCTATCTTTAAAATAGTGCAGACGAAATGAAAGCCTGCAGTTGTAGTGAATATTTTTTTTACTATATATGAGAAAAGTTTTGGGGTATATTGATTAGTGTTATTATCTTATTTGGATATTAAAAATACACTTGCAAAGAAAAATTTATAAATGTTACTTTCTAGGCATACTATGATGATAAAGAAAAAAACAATAAACCAGTTCAGGTGTTGTATTGTTAGAATCTTGAGTCTTGAATTGATAGAAAATCCTTAAGACTTTTAGTACGTTGTTCTGGACACCTCATAGAAATGATCTATGGTTATTGAAAAATACTAATGCAGTTTATTCATTTCAAAACGCTATTTTACCTGGACTACATGATTTCTCCTCTATTTCAGTCCATGCCCAGTTTAGATGAGGTTCCAGAGTTCTCAGAAGTGGATGCAGATTTCCAAAAAATCTCCGAAAAATCGTCTTCAAACTCTTTTTTGGGAAACCAGAAAGTCTCTATTGCCGCTCTTCTCACAGTCTTGAACCATGGCTGCAGCATTGAGGACAGTCAATCTGAATACGCAAAGGTACATCATAAACATGTCAACAATTCCAAATATAGAAAAATCTTGAGAAGTTTTATGCTCCAGACAGTTACTAAATCCACATACTGAATCCACAAGGGAAGTATATGGAACACATTAGCTTCCACATATAACATGCAAATATATGTAGTGCAAAGATAAGTGAGTGGGGGCAAAGCTGGATAGTTTAAATTACTTCACAAAACATAACTTGTGTAATGTATCCGCAGTTGGTTGGTGTGTACGAGGAACTGGGCTACAGGCCGGAAGAGTCCATCTCTTTCTCCATCCTTTCCACACATGCATTCATACAACACCTCATGGAAACATCAAGACAGCACCAGCTTGTGGTAAGTATTCACCCCATGTGTTGTTAGAATCTATATATACAGTAATAATGTTCTAACTATTCCATTGTGTTTCCCCTCATCCTCTCCTCAACACCTTTCTTCAACTCTTAGAACATTTACCACTTACTCACAAATGGAAGAGATTAGCTAAATATAATTGCAACACAATAAACTAATTTAATACATTTTTAAACTACTTCTTCCTTTAAAAAACACCTTAAACATCCCTGTGGTTGTCTCCCCTATTGAGTTAATTCACAAGAGGTGTTGCTGACCAGTTTAGAGTGTGGATTCTTTGATAAAATTACCCATGACTTCGCAGTATAATTAAGGCGACCACACACGCCGGGGCTATAGGTTTGACCGCTGTGATTAGGGCTGTTTTGGCAGATACACTCCAGCAGTCTTTCTGACTCACTTGCTTTTCTAATGACCTCTCTGACACTGAGGCTCACTGGTCATCGCCACAAAGAGTGCATTGTCCAGGATAACCTACATGTCAAGCCTGACTTCCCAGCAACGGCCGGCCAAAGAACTTATCGGAGCCTTTTTAGATGTGCTGAGGGAGCTGCTTCTGTGACACGCTAGTCTCACGTGATACATAATCAACGCTTCTGAATATTTGATTTTAGGTCTATTTTGTTATGACAATGTATATATTTTCTTTAATAAAGTCAGCTCTAAGAGGAAATAGCTCTTGAATCAGCTTGAATATTTGTTCTTTCTTTTTATTTACTTTGTGGATTGACAAATTTCACAAATAAACCTCTTGCCAGAAAGTTTATGAATGAGGCTAGTAGGTGTCAAATGTTACAGGTTCATGCTGTGATGGTTTTAAAGCTGGGGTAACATTTAAACCACATAAATAGAACTGATAAAATCTAACTATAGTTGCTATCTTCACGGGGCTCTTTGTCAGTAGCATTAAAAAAGTTTGCTAATAAATGTTGTGGGCAAATGGCCTGTTTTACTTATGGGAGCCAGGTGTCTCAGCTTTAACTTAATAACATTATTTTCCTAAACCTTTAAAGTGCACATTATAACTGTAAGTACATAAGTGTCCAAAACAAAGTCATTTTTGCAAAGACAACAAACAAGAAGTTTATATGAAGTTATTTTGTGTCTTTCACCACAAACTTTTATAACTATTCCTAAATGTCATCACCTCAAATGACTATTCACAGTTGGAGCTTACAATCCAGCATTTATATAAATAACTTAATGCAGAACTTAACATTTCACAAATTGCATTGATTCTGATCTTGAGTTATGCCACAATTAGGCAAAAAATAAAACAAAAAAAATAACAGACAATGGGAAGAAAATCTATGTCTTTATTTGTTCATGTATTTTTCATTTCTGGAGCCCTGGTGCCCACACAGCCCCCTCCCCATAGACCCCAACTCTCAGCTCTCCTCCCTCTCAGTCCATTGGTTCTGTCTGGCATCACAGAGACACCACAAGAACCAGAAATAAGGAATACAGCTGCTTTATTGAATGAGACTCCAGGCTGCACTTGGAGATTGACAACAGTGCACACAATTATTATTTTTTATTTACCGTAATTATGATGAGACCTTTGAAACTGTAAAATAGAAAAAAATGCGGATTATATTCTGGACATTTTCAATTTTACTGGCTCTTCAGGGACTGCACTGTGCCAGGATCCTCACTTTGTGTCTGATTGGTAAGTCGATTTGCGTTACATTTTAGTGCATTTTATTCCTGCAGTACATGACGTATTAACCTCATCCATCCATGCTTCTTTCTCACAACAGGAGGAAGCCATTATTTACTTTTAGATGAGATTTCACAAAACCTCCAACAACATGGCCACAGCGTGCGTATGCTACTACAGCTCGGGACTCCACTTCTTACAGGTACTGTATGTGTGTGTGTGTGTGTATTTTACATGCACATGATTCTTCTGATGATAGAGCGTACTCTTCTTCCAGGCTTTTCCTACACGGATCGTCTGCAAAACTATCAGACAAGCACTTGGTCTTTGGGAGAAAAGTATATTCAGGAATACAACGGATGGTTCCAAGAGCAGCAGACACAGTTCTTATTGGGAAGGTATGAGAAAGTATTATGGTTTTTCCTCTTTTGCCGCTGTGACTGTGAGATTTTAGCTTGGCAACGACTATGTGTGCTTGTAGTCATATTTTCGGGGTGTATTTGTAAATTAATTTCTATAATTTGCAAAAAATATTAGTTTCTTTATCTCTATACAGGCAGGGCTAGTACTGAGAGACGCTATTTTTTTCCACACAACAAACCACAGAGAGTACAATGGTAATAAAACAGATAAAAACATGTACAGTTAAGTTTATACAATTCTAAAACCAAATTGTTAAAAGGTAAAAGGGGCACCAGAGTGTCAGATTTGTCTATGGTTTGAAAACAATCAAATGTTTTCAGATGCAAAAGGTTCTAAAGCTGTCTTACACTTTGCACACAAATCATAGTTTCAAAAGCAAATGGTCGTATTTTCATAGGTCCTTTATAATTAAATTTACTACACTAATGCTCTTTTCTCACTGACAAACCTACGTTTTCAAGAAAGTTGCAGTAAGGAGTCTTGGAACAAACTGATCTTGCACATTGTCACATTGTATACAAACAGATGACACGATTTTACTTAGCACACACAGTTTAGCATTTAGATAGAAAGGCTAACATTATGTCTTCAACATGATCCGCGTTTGCCTATTTTGTTCTATTTGCCGTTATGTTTCTATTTTCAGAGACGACTTTAGTGGTTTTTTAACATTCATGGGACATCTATCCTATCAGTGCAGCAGACTTCTGGGAGACAAAAAGATGATGTCGTTTCTGCAGAACGAACACTACGATATAGCTGTGCTCGATGCCTTTAACCCCTGCTCTTTCATTTTGGCTCGTAAACTCGGTACGGTTTTTCAAACATGTTGTAAATATAGTTATTTTCATTTCTAATTGTCTTGATACTTCTGCATATTCACTGCAGGGATTCAGTACATTGCTTTCTATCCTGGGGCATTAAACGGCCCGCTGTCTATTGACCTCTCCAGTCCTGTTTCCTATGTGCCCATCTTTAACTCTCAGCTGACCGACCACATGAACACATGGGGTCGGATGAAGAATTTGTTTTGTTCTCTTCTAACACCAGTGGGTAAGAAGTGGCATCCACATGTGTTCACGTTTCAAATACAATGACTTCTTCCTTTCTTCACAGCTCAGGCTCTTGTTTGGTCGAGGTTTCAGGAGGTTGCAGATCAGCATCTTGAACAACCCTCCATTGGATTGGCTGAGCTTCACAGAGGGGCAGAACTATGGGCATTTAACACTGACTTTTCCCTGGAGTTTCCTCAGCCTCTTATGCCCTTCACAGTGCTGGTGGGAGGCGCCCTGAATAAACCGGCAAAGCCACTACAGGAGGTATTAAAACATGTCAAGTCTGTATTTTACATTTTTCAAATATTAACAAATATCCTCTATCAGGATCTTGATTTATGGATTTCAAACCTTGAAGAGCCATGTTTTGTTGTGGTGACTCTGGGGTCAATGGTATCTTTGGTGTCTGTGGACTTAGTTATGACTGAGCTTGTGGCTGGCTTCTCACTTATTTCTCACGGAGTTATCTGGCGGTAAAATCATATTTCAAATGTTTGTTATTGTTTGTTTTTTTATGTAATTTAATTTGAAATCTAGATATGACACCAAGCAGTGGCCATCACACTTGGAGTTACCGCCCAATGTGAAGATTGTGGATTGGCTGCCGTTGAATGACTTATTGGGTATAAACCCTTGATATATTGTCCTGCTCTTGACTCATACTACAGACTAATCTGCTGTTTGTATTTGTTTTCAAGGCCATCCTAAAGCCTGTGTCTTCATCACTCATGGAGGCCAGAACAGCCTGCTCCAGGCAGTGTACCACTCAGTTCCTGTCCTGAGTATTCCTCTGTTTGGAGATCAGTTTGATAATGTTGTGAAGGCAGAAGCAAAAGGCCTGGGACTCACTATTAAACCCACACACATCACTCGAGAGCTCCTCGCCTCGACTCTTCAAACTCTCATACTCGACGAGAGGTGTGTGGGCGAGCCTTCTTCAGTGTGACATGAGACAAATGCAATCCTGATGTGAATGCTTTTGTGTGTGCAGATACAAGTCGTCCGCCTTAGCCCTGAGCAGACTCCATAGATCGCAGCCTGTAGCTCCAGCGCTGACGTTTGTCTTGTGGGTGAATCACATCCTGCAGGCTGGAGGTGGACTGCATTTAAAACCTGTGGCTCTGGTCCAGCCCTGGTATCAGAGCCACCATCTGGACCTCATGCTGCTCCTTGCTGTAGTACTTTTTATTTTTGTCACTATCTTCTGGAGTTTATGTTGGAAAAGGCACTTAAAGAATACATTCAAAAGTGAATAGTAAAGAAGGGGAGGATGTATAGAAATTCAGATCTTTAGATGTTTTTGTGAATGATTGTTGTACTTCGCTGCCATATTTTAAATGTAAGTTTATAGGACAGTTTACAAGATAGTTAAACATAATGGTTAGTTTGCCCTGACATTTTTCCCCCGTTTCACCTACTATCTGCAGAGCAAAGTGGACACTACCAAGAAGAACAACATTCTTTTTTTTAAAAGAATTTTAAATACCACAAACCGTGATAATACTCAAACTGTTTCATCTGTTGCACTGTAGCGCCACAATGTCGGACGCCTCCGTGCCACTTTGACCTGTTTGTGTGACAGAATGAGATGACATGCACTCAGCCTCCGCTCCTATGAGAATTATCCAGAGATGAAAAAAATACTTGGATGCCTTGAAAAAAAAAGTACACTCTCAAAACAGATACATCAAATAAATATGTTCAATGGCTCCAGCACCTGCATGTCCCGACCCCCTCAGCAGTCTCCATGGAGCCTTCTCTCTTCCTAAACAAGACACAAAGGCACATGGCACATTCACGGTCAGTGCTCTGGCCACTGCTGACAGCGGATCAGGGCAGCGCAGCCCCCTCCCACGCCTTACATCTGTGTTGGGGGTTCGCTGGGAGGAAAATATAGATTAGCAAGGAAATAATGACCAATTAGGAAGGCTTGTTCTTTGCCCATTCAGCCGTTCTCCACTCCCCTCAATGTTTAATTTGTCTGTTTGTCTGGCAGTTGCAGGTGCCAGTCAGTCTTCCTCCAACTCGCACGCAATCCAGAGTGGACAAAGCAAAACAAAGCAAAAGAAGAAAAGTTAGGACTGTAATGCAGTTCCCCAATCTGACCCTTGCACAGATAAACAACACATGTGAATCAGTGAAAATCAGTTGAATAAAAAGTCAAATAAAAAATTAAATCATTATCCTTAGCATTATTATGAAAGATTTTTGCATTGATTGTATCAGTTATAAATCTAATCTATATTTGAGTGCGGTCATTATTTGGATCCACCTTGGCCTTAACCAGAAAATGTTAATGACTCGATAACTAATACAATTTATCTTGTCTTTTTATGCTCATCATCGTTTTGGGTGAAGATATCGATATATTGTAAACTGTAAAAGTATTGATGCATGACTGATTTTTTGTTAAATAATTGATGGACAATATTTTGTTTGTCTAGACATTTTTAGCACTGCTTTGAAATATGTGTCAAATTGGCAGGGAATATAAAATAAATAAAACATGTAGCTGTTATCTGAACGTAGAGGAATGGCAAACCACAATGACTTATTTCACTTAGAAGCAGGGCTCACAACTTCAAACGTGTCTTATGTCCATGTGACATTGGACAAACTTCTGCAGCATCTCTGAGGTTGACACTAGTTGTGTTGTAATCTACAATTTAAAACGTCAGAAAAATCAGTAGTACTAATAGCATCTAAAGATGTTTTCCCCCTTGAATAATAAATAATGTTTAATATATACAGTCTATGGTTTGTCCCCACAGAAAAAGTCTTGAAAAAGTAAAATATTATCAAAGTCTACCACAATATTCTCTCCTCATCTTAGTAGTAAACATGTTATATTTTTGTCTTTTAACGACCTCTCAGACTCACTATTTGATGCTTTGGGCTGAGAGCTGATTGGTCCTCTCACTTTTCTGTCTGAAAAAGCTGTACTGAATATGTGATGGAGGCCAAAAATGCATGCATTTGATATTTAATACCAAATTGTTTTGGATCATGGAACTAGCTATTACATGGTCGCATGTTTGTGGTTTGAATTCTAGATACTCCTGCTTTAATTACTTGCAATCTTTGATTGTATGAAGCATTTAGATATATGCCTGCATGAAAATGGCAGTACCCCAGTGGAGTGCTATCTCCCCTGTGCTCGGTAGAGGGCGACGTTCTCACACTGTGCACTGACTTCAAAGATCATCATTCACACTATTGCTATTGCAGCTTGAACTCTTGTCTAAACCTGTTCTTCTCCGTAAACGCGGGGTCATTATGAGAACGTAGTGTCTTGAGCTTCGTCACACGTCGCATTGGTGTGTCTCTGTCATTACAGCGTAAGTGTTTCCGCACACACAGCTGGAGTGAGAGTCTGTTTCCCAGAGAGGATCTCTGCTCCGTGTGTCATTGGTGGATAGAGAGGTGTGGGAGTGTCCGCGTCGCTCTGTTTATGTAGCTCGCTGCCTCTGCTGTCTACCAAGGACTCTGCAATGTGATTTACGCATAGATTTGCGCTTTTATCCCTTTTAGCTGGTGTTTTTATAGCGGATGTACTCCAGTTGTAAACATGGGGACCGATTAGAAGGTAAAACACGGACGAAAACGAGGAAAAGGCCGAGATGGCAGGCGCCTTTGGCTTCAAAGGCTGCCAGAAAATCCGCGGTCCTCAGATACGACATCTGCTGGAGGCGAAGGACTTCTTTCTGTTTGACTGTGACGGGGTGATCTGGCACGGGGAGAAGGCCATCACGGGGGCGGCCCAGGTGGTCAACTCTCTCATACGGAGCGGGAAACGTGTGGTCTTCGTCACTAACAACTGCACCAGGCCGCGGCAGAATTACATGCTCAAGTTCTCTCGCCTGGGCTTCCATGAGGTGATGCTGGAGCAGATCTTCAGCTCGTCCTACTGCTCCGCGCTCTATCTGCGGGACGTGGCGAAGGTCCCGGGGCAGGTGTTCGTGATCGGCTGCGAGGGGCTGAGGAGGGAGCTGCAGGAGGCGGGGATCCCCTGTGTGGAGGAGGCGGACGAGCCCGAGGCCACCATCTACAACTGCACCCTGGTCCCGGACGTGAAGGCGGTGCTGGTGGGGCATGATGATCAAATGACTTTTCTCAAACTGGCCAAAGCCTCCTGCTACCTGAGGGACCCCGACTGCCTGTTCCTGGCCACTGACAACGACCCCTGGCATCCCCTCAGTGGTGGAAGGATACTGCCAGGTATTATTACAGTATTATTACATTCTTGTTACAACACCAGTGTAAAGGCAAATTCATTCACACGTCATTGACTAGTACCATTCATAATGCTGGCCTAGTCTCCATCACCTCTAGGTCTATGTTTACCACTATTCATACACAAGGCTACTCAAAGTAACTTAAAAAAACAAGATAAATCAAAATCAGAATATAAATTAAATCATAGATAATAATCACGATACATTAAAAAGAGGGAGAATACATCCCCTCAGTTGTATGTAGAGCTAAAGAGAACTGGTTTCAACCTGGATTTGAATATTGTCAGAGTAGAAGCCTGTCTCACATTTTTAGGAACATTGTGTCAGGTGTTAGCTGCATAAATCTAAACTGGCACTTATGTCACAGAGGGACTTATGAGGCCATTGAGAGACTTGTACATAAGCAAAGCACAATTTGTGTAACCCATAGCCTGACCAATCACACACAGACACACACGATGTAACAATTACATTACAGAACAACATTTAAACCAAAATGGCGCAAATTGGATCAGATTTTTATTGGTATTTTTCTTGGTAGCAATAACTGAGGACATTGAGAAAAAGATTAAAGATAAGATAAGAATTCCTTTATTCGTCCCACAGTGGGACCATGATGGCTCAAGGAAAAAAATAATGAAATCAACAAAGAAATGATTCCTTTCATTGTTTGTACCCATCTTCTGTTTCCATGAAAATAGTATATGTAAATGAGGGGTAGGGTCATATACTTCTTTTGATTCTTCTTACTCTTATCCACTTGTTACAAAATATCCTACAAAAATATCCACTCGTTTTAAAATAAAATAAAAAACAAATTGGAAAAAAGAGATCAAACTAGATTCATGCAAATACTGAAAAGTGGAAATTCAAGATGAAATACTGTCCTAAAAAATAAACCAATTTAAGAGCACAAGGATGAGTTAAAATGAGTTAAAAACATTTTAGCCTGGACTCCAACATTGTCAGGAATTTGAGGTGTTTACCCAATATCACATGAATATGAGCCTATTTTGGCAAGAATATAAAAAGACTATTAAGAAATTCAAAATGATATTTATTTCAAGTGCATAAAATGATGTTGGCAGGCCTACTTTTAGATAAAACACTGGATTTGTGATGCATTGCAGTATAATACATATTTATAGCCCCTGTGTAAAGCAAGGTTATATGGGTTTGTTCACACTAAAGGGCACAAAAGTGTGACAAAAGGCCAAAAATTAGATTTTAATAATCAGAAGATATTTAATGTTTTTCATGTTTCCAAACACCTCCTCTGTCCATTAGAAGTTGCTAGAACAAAACTGTTTTATACATTAGACAAGTTTCCTAAAGCGGCCCTGTTTATTTTATGTAACGGACGTGATGAATTGACGGAATGAGCTTTGTTGAAGTTTGATAGGTATTTTCAGATGTCCACATTTGATTCAGAGATTCTATTTTTTTAATTAAATGTGAAAACAGACCAGATTTTTTTTTCTCAAGTTTAATTTTTAGAGAAAAGAGGACCGTCCTCATCACGTCCGTTATACATTTTTCAGGGGTCATTTAATTAATTTTTATTTTTTTACGATTCCTTTTTATATCAATTGATTTCCTTCTGTTGTGTTAACCATGTAAATCTTGTGGGATTTCATCTTCTGCTTTTTCAGAATGAGGACATTTTATTTTCTATGTAACTGGCGTCACAGTAGAATGGTCCAATCAGAGGCTAATTTGGTCGTTTAAAATGTTGCTAAACATTTTTATGTGAATCTTTCCTTTTGATTTTTTCCACACTATCTCTTCAATCTGTCTGTGTTTGAAATCTTGTTTCCAATCTATGAAAGTAATTTTAGTTTTTAAATTATAACCTTTTAAAGTCCAGATACTTCAATTGTCACTTTACTGTGAACACACTCATATGCATGTAGTCAATTATTTTCTCTGAATAGGCTCTGGGTCCCTCATCGCAGCCATTGAGGTGGCTTCAGGTCGTAAAGCCACAGTGATCGGCAAACCCAGTCGTTTTATGTTCGAGTGCATCTCCAGCCAGTTCAGCGGCTTGGACCCGGCGCAGTGCCTGATGGTGGGCGACCGCCTCGAAACGGACATGCTGTTTGGGTCCAACTGCGGCCTGGACACCATGCTCACGCTCACGGGGATCTCGCAGATGGAAGAGGCCCACGAGTACAGCAGAAGTGAGCTGTCCACAAACCACGGCCTGGTTCCCGACTACGTGGTGGACACTATTGCCGATTTCTTACCTGCATTTGAAGATGTGGAAGAGGAGGAGAGCAACTGATGATTCAATGCACATTCTGCTTCCAATTCATTTGCAATGGTTCACTTAAGCAGACACAGCCTACTGTAAATTATCATTATAAGTCTTTTGTTGTGACCAAGACTTATAGGTGAGATTTTCCTAAATTATAGCCTAATCAAGCATACCTCAATGTTTCTCTCGTGTTGTACCCATTTGTGACTCAACAGTCCTAGCCGTGTTTTTAGAAATATAATGCACTTTCTCGTTCATGCGGTTTGTAGATTGTGTTGGATAAGGTGTTTCCAAAACACTCAGTATTTTTGTAAAGAATTATTCGAAAGGCAGTGGTTCTATCTTATTGCACAAAGAACATCATATTTAAAACCACTATATATATTGGACTATTCTTGATCTGAAGGAAATTGGATCTTAAAGAGTTAAATTAAGGGTAAAAGATAGAAAAATGTACTAAAAGGACCCCAAAGTGCCAGACCAAACTACCCCCTTTGACACACACACATTTACCATCACCACCATTCAAGATAAATGCCCTGAAACAAGAGACTAATGGCACCTTGTCAAGTTTGGTGACGTCAAATGTGTCAAGTTCACTTTTGGGGAGTGGGAATGAGCATGACAGTGATAGTCATTTTAAGAGGAAATGTTTTCTGAACTTGCCGCCAAACTCTCTGCATACACTTCTCCTGATGACACTGTGAATGCCCTTGTACGAGTTCTGGATTGAAAAATATTAAATATTTCAAAACACCAGCTGCTTAGAAATCATTATTTTATTTATTTATTCTGTGGTTTACATAGAAGCACAACTTATTTTCATTAGCGCTACTTGGAAGTACTAATAATTCAGATATACAATAAATTATACCTGGTATCCAATGAAACAGTACAGTGTGTGATGAAGGAGGATTGTGGGACTTGACAAAGTGAAGCAGTACTTGTAATAAATGTAGATGTTTAAACCTGGGCTTGCCAACCCCCACACAGCTGGTTTCAATGTAGCATTGTAACTTGTAATATCTACAAAAATAAACATATGTACATTTGAACAGCATTAATTATGTTTCATATGGCATGGATTTATCTTGTGCTGAGGAACAGAAAGGAAACTGATCTACAGATAAGGACTTTGGTTGTTATGGTCGAATCACACCAGTCATTCAGGACCGCCACGCTGCAAGAGAAAGCACATTTTAGAACACTTGATAGTTGTGGAAAGTCACTTGACGATAATATAATTGATCAGAGAAATGCAGACATTAATGAATGGTGCATTATTTATTCACAACATACATTTCAGGAGGTAAGCTTCTACACGCTGCCAATCCCCATCACGCACACACACCAGATTATTTATATATGATGTAGAATGGTTTGTAGTTAGCTGGGTCTAGCAAGACTGAGAACACCAACTCGTTTAAAAGCCCACTTTGGGATGAGTTCTGTCCAGTTGGGATAGACCTCATCCCAACTGGACAGAACTCAATGTAAACTAAAACAGCTCAACCTCAGCTGACAGAGAACCTACAGCTTTCATAAAGATCGGATTTTGTGGAGATTTTAGGGTGTATTCAGACCTGAAAAGTCCTTTGCTCCGCTTGCTTGATCCGAATCAAAAGCAGACCAAACTTTTTTCTTTTGCTCCGGTTTGTATTCAGACTGTCCTTTTTGCAAGTGAACTTTTTTATATAAACATATTGACACGTGTGACGATTGGCGCTCCTATTGGACAGTGAGAGCTCACGGAGGATAGACGCGGAACCGGCAGAAAACATTGAGGGCTCGTATGTGCAGCATGTCTGCTCTGCCTGTGTTTGCTCTTTTTAGAGAAAAACCACCTTCAACATCAACAACAGCTCATATGACACAGGCCAAACGCACTGTTTTAAATATTGGAACAGCGTCGGAGAATGCGTGAGGAGAAAGACTAAGTAGACTGTCTGTGCGCTCCGTGTCCTGTCCCACACATGGATCTATGATAATAACGGCCCCGTTCAGCATTGTGGATAAACCATGGATCTATAATAACCACGGGACAAACAGACGCTGAGGATCAGGTAGGAACCAAAGAACACAATTCACTACATGATGCGGAATATTGCTCTTTGAGACGTGAGTCAAACAGTGTCAGGCTTTAATAATGAAAATGGTTTGAAGATGCTGCCATTAACATTAATGTGAACAGTTTTAACTCCATAAGCCTGTTGCACAGCGTCTCCTCACTGCTCCAGGTCTGCACACGGCTCATTGTTGTTGTGTAGCGTTAGCAGCATAGTTAGCAGCATAGTTAGCAGCATAGTTAGCTGCTGCACGCCTATTTCGTCACAGTTTCTGTCTGCGGCTTGTTAAGCCCAAAAAATGCGCACGTATCTTGGAGTTGTGTCGGATCGACACCGGATGTATTCAGACCTGATTCGACTTGGACCAGAATTCGTTTGGAAGCGGACCGAGACCACCTAAAAAAGTGGGTCTCGGTTCGGTTCTTTGGTCCGGACCAGGATTCGTTTGTGTGTATTCAGACCTGCATAAAAGCTTCGGATCAGAGTTCCAAACGAATCCTGGTCCGTTTAAAGTGGAGCAAATGTGCAGGTCTGAATACACCCTTAGTGTCCCTTGTCATTCTTCTTAAATCCTTCGGTTTTCTTTAAATCCACACTTTACTGCCACAAACTCTGCTCCTTTCCTTCCCGCTCTTACTCTGCTCTACCGCTGCTCTGATCAGCAGCGCTGATTGGTCAGAGTGCGGACGAGCCCCTCTGTGCAGGTGCATGAGAGCCACACACGAGCTCGTCCGCTGCGCAGAACCGGGAGGACTAGACGATGCCCAAATATAGCAGAGTTCCGCTAATCTTTCGGTCCCTGTGAGTCCCATGCGCTACTGAGCACAAGCCATTCATTTGAATAGGGCGCCATCTTGGATCATTGGGGCTTGCCTGTACCTGAATGAACTCCATCTCATCAGTGTTCAGCGGTCTGCGGCGATACCGCGCAGGCAGCAGCTGAACGGAGGCCAGCGTGTCGGGAGAGCCGGGGATCAGGGTCAGAGGAACATGTGGTCGAGCAAACTGAGAAGGAGGAGGAGGAGGAGGAGCTGAAGGAGTGTTGTGCTGCTGGAAGTTCACAGCAAGTGTTTTTAGCGCCTCTTGGACTAGTGAGAAAGGAAGGAGAGGATACATTTTCTCAGAGTACAGAATTATTCTAAAGGATTCCACATTTATTACTGAGGGACACGTTTTAAAACATACACATAACTGAGGTCAGGGCCAGTGATCAATACTATATATAACTCAGAAGCGTATAATCTAGTCACAGTTTGATGATGAAGGTCACCAGACAGCTTGGGACACATTTGTCCTTATGGCCAAAGTTTGGACATCCCTACAAACTTCTGAAGGGCTGGAAGCACCACAAATTAAATAAAGTTGCACTCTGAATAGTTACAATGAGCTCCTCGAAAATACTGAATTTGCCAATCTTTTTTTTCTATTTGTAGCGAATTGTAAATATTAGTTATTCGTTGCTGGTGTAGCGTAGAGTGACTTGTCTTATCTTTTTGTCTCCACCTCGTCATTTGTTCACCTGAGATTTCTCTTCTACTTTGTGCAACAGCATTGACCTTCCATCAGTCACAAATAGAGCTGCAACTAACGATTATTTTGTAATCGATTAATCTATCGATTATTTTTACGAATAATCGAGTAATCGCTTGGCTGTGAATTGTGTAGAACAAATTTATTTTTTCATCACAAAAAGCTAAAGTGGCAACACTCGAGGACGTATTGATGGCGTAAACTTAAAGTAAATGTTTGTAACAGGCTCTTTGTGCTAATTCTGCTCTGATTGGATGAGACAGACAGATATTCATGAAATTATAAAAACAAAGTCGGTTTTAATCAAAAATACTACATTTTCATGTCATTTTTGCTCTGTTTGAGTCCGTGTGAACCAGAAAACGATTAATCGATTTCCAAAATAGTTGTCGACTATTTCAATAATCGATTAGTCGTCGATTAATCGATTAGTTGTTTCAGCCCTAGTCACAAACACAGTAACTTTTCTTTACGACAGTCGATCAAAGTGCACTTATGCAACAAACTCACCATTAGGCTTTGGATTGCCTTGTCTGTTGGGGAATTTGATCAGAGGAGCATGAGGCCGCACAGCCTGGGGAGGGAGGAAAGGAAAGTTTAGAAAAAAATTGTATGATGGTCCACTTTGAACCATACAAACCCTAAAGCAGTCAAATGAGGTTTTATGACTCGAACGAGCGATGATCGCAGAATGAAATTCTAATGTGTAAAACATTTTTAATCCAACGACCAATTGTGTTACACCTCTATGTTCACTGGACTGTTGTGATCTAAACAAGTAATTGATTAAGCAAAACCATTTTTGCCCCTATTACTTTAGAGTGAACTTGGGTTCCATTCAAAATAGTTTGTAATATTCGTAATGTGGGAACAGAAGTGACCAAAGTCCTGTTCAACATGTTTTGGACCTTTGTATTGAGTTGTATCGAGTTGTAAATACAATGAATAATGCTTCCTCTACATTACTGTCATTGGCACATTTATTAATCTTTAGACAGTCATCTTAACCTTCAACATCTGTTAAATGCCCTCACTTTTTACTTTTGTTGAACATGTATGCTTATGTTTTAAACTGGCACAATCACTTATTAAATATATCCGGGACTTTCACTAGAGAGTGTTTGGTATGTCTATTTAACCCAGGCACAGTTAACAGTAAAGTGACATTTGAAGAGTTAATTTTAACCCTTAACTTCACAAACATGTCAGTAGTAAACGCCACAGTGCGCAATCCTCCACATTGGTATGAGTCATGAAAACTGAGCTATTCGTTCAATGAAATCTGTATTTTATATCTCCATTTATGTCCAAAGTAAAATACTGAAATGTCAACGAGTTTCAAGTTTGGAAACTGAACAAGGACATCAACAAGGGTAAAACTGCATTTTTCACACGTATCCGCAGTGGAAACCCTCGTTACATGTTACCACTGACAGATAAAAACACACTGTCAGACATAATCCAGCTGTAACGTGTTACAAACCCTATAAAACAAAGATTAAGGGGACATCTTTACCTGTATCAGTCGAGCGGAGGGAGCCGCCATTTTGGAGCTGACTTTGCCTCCCATGATGACCTCACTTCACTTCCGGTCTTACGCGACACCACGAGAGGGCGCTGTTGCCTAACAAATCATAATAACACGGTACAATTTGTCATATTTGTTGTACTTATGTTGTACATTTTTGTATGAGAAACCTAAAGCGTTAGTTACTTGTCTCTTACATAAATAAAATAAAACAAACAAACTTCGAGCATGCACAAAAAACCCTTCAAAATGATGGCACATCACATGTGAAGGTTAAAATGCCGCAGCAGCGAAAACGCTCTATTATAATCATATTAACTACAACAGAAACCTCGGATATGGATGTGATTTGTCACAAGAAAACAGTCAAAATCGGATGAACAAACGATATTAGCATTTTAATCTATTACGAAGAGTCAGGGAATCACACAGCTTCCAGAAGCTACTAATGCGTTCCATCACTTACTAACGCGTAATTTAAATACCTTTTTTTAAGACAACTCAGCTAGAAACATGTATCTAATTAGATAACGTCTCTGTGATGAGGAACAAACAGCTATAACGGAGCAATAAATCCGTAGTGCTTCATATAAGGCGAAATGTCAAAAATAAATGAATGAAGTTCAATCATTTATCTGCCGGTGCAAATAAGAAAAATGTCAAATAATAGGAAAAACGTGTTTATAATCTAACCCACCTTATCCTAACCCACCGATTCCCTGCATCATCTGTAGCAGGAAACGCATTACCACGTGATATGCGGCATAGATCGTAAATGGGAGACGATGGGCCGCTTGGATGATGTATGTTACCCCAAGTAGAAACAATACAACTGCTTTGTCGTTGGTTTGTTCTGGTTCTGGTTTAGTTATTGTCTGTCTAGGGCCAGGCAAGGTTCATTTTTTGTTTAGTATTTATTCTGTGCCTGTGTATGATTTTGTTTCCTTTCTTGTTTTGCACCTTGAATTGAATTGTGCCATACAAATAAACGTGCCTTGCCTTATTTAACGAGTGTATGCGGTCAATGTGCAATACAACATTAGCTTAAACCAATGTATTATTTGTTTAGGTTATTACATTGTAAATAGATGTTGTTTCTTTGTTAATCGATGATTTATAGGCATGTACTTGATTAGTCTGGGCAGGAATTCATATTTTCAGTTTTTCAGTCTATTCATTGTTATACATATAAGGTTTCAAACAAGCTAAATCATGATTGGTATCAAAACACAGGTCAAAAGGTTGTATAACTTGAGCAAATGACCACCAAATGACACATAAGGCTATGTAAAAGAAAGAGAGAAAGATCCAAAACAACACACTTATTCATATCCAATTCTTTTATTAAATAAACTGGTCCAGATTAATTGAAAACAAATAGGTACCAATTATTTTACTGGCTTAGATGTCACTACGTCTGTGCATGAACTATGATGTAACAGTGAATATCTGAAGCCATCGGAGGTCCAAGTGTGAATGTGGTGTAAACAGGTTTGATAGGAGCTGCGGACTTGTTAGCACTTTGACCTGTCGAAAAGCTGCTTGAGTTGGTCCTTGGTTGTTGCTTCTGTCTGCTGCATGAGGTCTGTGTCGCCCTTGGTAACACCCCAACCATCTGGGGTGGACAGGGAGGGGCAGAGGGGGCGACCAGAAGCAGGTTTCAGGTTCTCCCAGTAGTCACGACGGGCTCTGGAAGAGAAATAGACTCTAACTATTAACATTTATGCAGATATATGGCATCAACATGACATAAAGAATGTCCATATCTATATGGCCAAGGCCCCTGCTTCTAGGTGAAGTTGCCTGAAAAAGTTGTATTTGTGAGACATCACATAATTCCAAATAGCCTATTGTTTAAAATTGTGGGAGAGGGCAGCCCAAAAATCTTTCCTGAAAATTGTTGTCATCATTTGTAGCTAATTCCTTTGTAATTCCTGGACCATTTCACGAGGAAAAGAAAAACTGAACGGATGCACTGCACTTTGGAATGGACAAAGAAAAGCAAAGTGACAAGATTGGCTAAGAAGCAAACCAACTAGTCAAACTAATGAATGAAACATTTCAGCTTGTTATCACTAGTTGTGCAGCGTTCAAGTTCTGAGGCTGGATTAATGATGAAAATTATATTGACCTTGCTCGGACCCATGGCTTGGTGTGCATCTCCAGACCGGCTCCCCAGGTTCCGTGTTTCTCAGATGCAGCTGGCAGGACTCCTCTCTCTGCAGCCAGCTCCTCGGCCACTGCCCTGATGTGGTAGGGCTCGAAGCCACAGCAGCCTCCAATGAAGTAGATGCCAGCGTTGTAGGCCTCTCTGGCGTATTTGTGCATGTCCCAACGGGTCAGGATCCTGGGCTCAAGACCTGACAGAATGAATAATTTTGTTAGTATTTTAAATTATATATAGCACATCAATGTTTTTAACTTTTTTATGATGATGTTTTAAATTAATTCCCTCACTGGGATCAGTAATGTTCTTTATTATAGTATAAAGTTTAAAAAAATAAAGTTTTTAACTCTGCAAGCTATATATTTACAGGTGCTTTGTATTGTATTAGCACAGTCTTATGTCGTTACCAAAGGGGAACTCAGGCAGGTCGATGAAGCCCTGACAGCTGCAGTCTGGAGTGTGGTAGGCCAGAGGCTGCACCATGTAGTGTGCCTTCAGTCCGGCCTTCTCCACCGCTGCCTTCATCAGCTTCACTGCTTCCACACAGGTCATTGGGTCAAAGTGGCAGTTCACTCCGACAATCTGAGCACCTGGACACGAGAAGAGACAGAAGAGCGGACTGCAGATTAGTCACAGCTATGACAGAAGCTGCTTTCAACACATTTCTTTGCTTTCACACTCCTCAACAGCGCTGATATTGTTGTTATATAGAGCTTTTTTCGAGACTCAAAGACTGTACAACTTTAACCACCACTGGTCATTCATCTCCCCAACCCCACACACACATCAAACAAGGCAATACGAGTGAAGTGTTTTGCCAAAGGACACAGTTGAACCCATTGTTCAGGATTTCACAATTTTAACTAGCTCCTGATTTTTCCTGGTTATAGACAATACACTTTCAATTGTCTCTCTCATTGAGCTTCTGGTTTTCATACATGTCCTATAGTTATTTATTTATTTTCATCCGACTATGCAGTATGTAGAAGCGAACTGTGTTATCTGATAGATCCAAATGAAGTGAGGTACATGTCTGGCACTCACCGGCCTTCACCAGTCGGATAGCACACTCGCCAGCAGACACTCCGTGCATGTCGCCCTCGGGTCCGATGCACAAACAAGCGGCTACAGGCTTCCCGGTCTCCTTCAGCACCTCCACAGCCCACACAGCCTCCTCCACATGCTCAAAGTACTGCGAGACAACAGCACAGATACAGCACCATGAGTTTTCACAAGTTTTCACATGCTATTTTCTCTTATTACTTTTGTTTGTTCTGGTCATTTTCTAATTTTCTGCTAAAGTACAACATACACATTTGTTACACAATACCTCTCAAACAAGTGCAAATATAGCTCCAGAGTTTTATTTTATCATCTATTTTACCATCTTTATCACTTATCATTCAATTATTTAAAATCTATTATCTTAAATAATTGACCCTGTTTGATGTGTGCAACCTGAGTGCTCTTTTCCTTCTTTTTTCTCTGCTGTAATGTGCACAACGATGACATTGAAATTTCCCCACTGTGGGACGAATAAATGAAAATTTTATCTTATCTTTTGCATGTATCTGTGTGTCTGTCACATGTTTGGATCTGCTTAAAAAAGAAAAAAAGTAACAAAGAAACTTTGTCAGATCTCAGACCAAGATGATCTCAGGACCAATGCCAAGGAATTCACTTCAAGAATCTTCTAAGCATGCAAAATAAAATATTGTCTAATAAAGGAAGAAAGCATGGTTGGTTTGATTTGTTTACAACTTTTCACTTTTAAGAAACTCTTTGGGTTGGGACGAACAAGAATGTTTTATGAAAAAAGTTACATAATCCATACAATACATATTTTTTCAGACGTTTAAGTACCCAACATTATATTGAAGGTAACCAAAACACATGACCATTGACTTCTGTACCTCTGCAATCAGGAAGTCCACGTTCTTCTTGATGAAAACGTCAAGCTGTTTCTTGAAGATGCCTTTCACTTCAGTCTCGCTCTTGCAGCTCAGGTAGGACGGGGTCTGGCACACTCCTCCGGCCACCAGCGCATCGCCCTCATTGGCCACTTCACGAGCCAGATCACACGCAGCCTCGTTGATCTGAGCGCCCTGTAGAGATTATGACAATGACACACAATCAATCTTAAATACTCATCTCACTCAAACTTCTGTTTTATTTATCTATCTATCGCAGTCAGAAGGCGACTACCAGAGATGAATGTGTAAATGAAAGTAGAGTCACTGGTGCATTTGTGAGTGATCAGTAAGGTTTATTAGTGATGATTCAGAGATTGGTCTTCATAGCAACGTTTACTGCACTTTTCACACTGGTATCACTGTCACAGGCTTTCAGGAGTCCACCATACTCACGGTGAAGGAGAGTTTGTTGCCTCTGTTTTCCAGTTTGTCGTCGCTGGCGTAGAAAGTGAAGGTCTGCATGACGTTGGCTCCAGCCCTCAGAAACTCCCTGTGCAGCTGCCTGACTGCAATCACAGACAAATGGTCTCATGAACACATCTATACATAAGAAATGCATACAGTATGTAAATGACAATAATACTATGAAATTATCCCCTTTCTCTCCACATATACTTGAGTGCCTCACCAGCTTCAGGGTGCTCAACGGCCGCCTCAGGGGTCCAGGGACCAGCCTTCACGTAGCCCCTCTTCTCCAGGGCAAAGACAAAACCTCCATCTCCAATCACAACCTCCCCAGCGTCAAGACGCTCCATGATTCCCTATCACAAGAAACAGACTGTATCAGATCTAGTACAGTGTACAAGCGTATGTTTCAAATCATGTTTACTGAGACAGTTTTTACATTCATATCCATGTTTATGGATGTCTGTGAAAATCATAGTTTAATAAAAGGAGTTTTCGATTGTGACAGTTTTGACAAGTGAATGTCCCTCAGACACACATGGTGTCAAGGAAATACGCCATCCATGCCAGCTGTGCAGCACATGCACAGAATTTAAAAGCACAAAGCAATAAATCAGTTTTTTGTAGAAAAAATACACATAAGACTATATAAAAATATATGTATATATCTACTGTGTGTGCTTGCATGGCATATAGCATATTTGTAAATGACCAAAAATAACATTAATTCTTATCCTGTACTGAATAAAAACCTCATTTAAAAAAAAAAAAAAAAAAAACATAATTTCCCTTGAACTTCTACTGTCTACAGACAGAGTAGCACATGCAATATTGGACACATACCTTCGGTGGTGCCATGTTCTTGCAGCTGTGTGGACCTCCCGACTGCTCAGACTTTGAGTGACTGAAGTGACATTAGAGGAGCGCTCAAGTCCACTATAAATCCCTCTGCAGCAGGGGAGGGGTCAAAGTTGGACACTTTCTGATTGGCAAAAGCCCAGTTGCACAACTACTGTGGTGTTCACTCCTTCTCCTCCCCTCTCTAACTGAATGGGAGTATTGTGAGCCTTACGAGTTTGGGCCAGCTAAATTGGGGGTGTTTTTCAATGTGTTTACCCATTTCTGTCCAATTGTGAGGCCCAATTTACTGTTTAAGTTTATATACGCCCCCTAACTGGAGAAAATAACTCAATAAATAAAACTTGTGTGAAAGAAAACACATTGACATGGTTTAATCTTGATATCTGGTTTATTTGTGTAAATTTCTCCTGTGTGAGATCAATAAAGTATATCTTATCTTATCTTATCTTATTTCTGCATTTTCTGCAGTAACATTGTCAGTTCACTGTAACAAGTGCTCTCAAGTTTGCAACTGAACTAGAAAATACTCTAGGATCTCAAGTTGACCTAATGAAATTCATGGTTTTTTGTTGTTTGATTTTGTCTTTAGGCAGTAGACTTGGCCTTCTTCTGCCTCTCCAGGACCTGCTGCATCTCCTGCGCTGTGGTGGCCTCTTTGTGCTGCAGGAGCTCAGTGTGGCCCTTGGTGACGCCCCAGCCCTCGGGAGTGGACATGGATGGACATTTGGGCCGACCGGAGGCAGGGCGGATGTTCTCCCAGTAATCCCGACGAGCCCTGGAAGAAGAAACATCTGTCGTGAACTATGAGCGTACAAAAAAGCTCTCACAACGTTTCTACACGCAAAACGATGGGCAGCAATACAAGTAATACTATGGAGCTGCGAAATTAACAGAGTTGGGTTCTGAACGTAACATTTACCATTCAAAATCCCCATAGGAATTTCCAAAAATCCAAATATCAAGAGTTGGAAGCCGCGGCCGATGCTTACTAGACATCTGTTTTTAAGTTGATATTAATTTAATGGGTCTGTTGTTCATAATAATCATTATGGGAAATGGGGAATATTAATTTGAAGCCCAATACCATGCTTTAAAAAAATATGTATCACAAAGACAGCAATCTTCTCTATTGCTAAAGCTGTATTTCAGATTCAGGCTGTTGAAATCTGGAACAATCTTCCTGAAAATGTGAGACAGGCTCTGACAATGTTTAAATCCAGGTTAAAAACAGTTCTGTTCAGCTGTGCATACATTTTGTTCAGCCCTTTGAGTTGCCTTGTGTATGAATTGTGCTATACAAATAAACTTGCCTGGTCTAAAGCTGTATTGAATTAGTTGAAACTGAGTTGAAAACTAATTGGTAATGACTATACCAATATTCACCATTTGCAAGCCTTAGTCTGAACTCAGCCTTCAACACTACAATCAGCTTCTCTCTAGACTTTTGTCAGTAAATATGGATATTCCTCACCTTGCTCGGACCCATGGTTTGGTGTGCATCTCCAGACCAGATCCCCAGAGTCCATGTTTTTCTGATCCCTGACACAGGAAGCCCCTCTCCGGAGCCAGCTCCTCGGCCAGTGCCCTGATGTGGTAGGGCTCGAAGCCACAGCAGCCTCCGATGAATCGGATGCCAGCCTTGTAGGCCTCTCTGGCGTATTTGTGCATGTCCCAACGGGTCAGGATTCTGGGCTCCAGAGCTGAAGAAGAATAAGATACAATAAAGATGTCTTTCAGTCTCGACTTCAACCTAAAGCCCTTTCGGTCAGGAAAAAATTCGCATTAGAATTCTTAGTATACATGTTTTGATTCATTTCTTTATTGTAATGTATTTGATCTTTGGAAATATGTGACCTAAGTTCATGTACATAATGACCGAAGAAATAAACTACTACCACTAAACCACTAAACTATACTTTCTACATTTTATGTTTTATGTTGTTTTTTAAACATGCACTGTTCATACAGATTGTTTCCAGACAAGGCACAGTATGACTAGTGTTGTCAAACCTTTTAAACTCATGGAACTAATTCTATAGATCAATACTAATACCGATTACATTATGATTATTTCAAACACATTTGTTTTTTGAAAATAAAATAAATAAATTAATTTGACACAAAAAGCACAATTTTCTAGAATCTATTGATATCAGATGTTTGATACTTTTGACAACACTACTCAAGACACTCACATTACTGTCTTGGTATAATTCTTTCATAGGGAGATTCATACCTCTTCAGGCAGAGCATACAGCATGTGCAGAAAAGTTTGTCAATAGATGTACGCACAACAAAGCTGGGATTCTGTGTTAAGTGTTGAAGCTCACTCAAAGCAAAGGGTTCTTACCAAAAGGGAACTCAGGCAGGTCGATGAAGCCCTGACAGCTGCAGTCTGGAGTGTGGAAGGCCAGAGGCTGCACCATGTAGTGTGCCTTCAGTCCGGCCTTCTCCACCGCTGCCTTCATCAGCTTCACTGCTTCCACACAGGTCATTGGGTCAAAGTGGCAGTTCACTCCGACAATCTGAGCACCTGAAATAAGTGTGCAGCCTTTTATATTTTTACTGTCCTTGCCTTAGTTATTGCATGATATATCAAGATCCTAATAGCGCTAATTCCAACCAATTTAGTTTGTGGATCATTTATGTTTGTCTAAATCTAACTGCTTAAGCCCACAGAGAAGCATATGTAACTCAAATCACACATACATAATTCAAAACACAAAATTATGCTGTTGTTTGGCATCTTCAAAAACTACGATCCTTGACAGTTGCAACTCTTGTGGACAAACAAAAAGATGTTAGAGCCTTAGGTTTTGTTCCTGTTTCCATTATCTTTGCTCTCTATGAAAATACTTGAGATAGACATGGCATGTTTTTGTTATGTTGACCGACTTGTTCACTCGCTAACATTATTTGATAGATAGTGAATAGTCCATACCAGCCTTGACCAGTTTGACAGCACACTCTCCAGGTGAGACCCCGTGCATGTCGCCTTCTGGTCCGATGCACAGAGAGGCAGCCACAGGTTTCCCACTGGTCTTCAGCACTTGCACCGCCCACTCCGCCTCCTCCACGTGCTCAAAGTACTGCAACAAAAGAACAGGTATTCACTTAAATTTACCCTGTGTATCCATGTAATTAGCTTGATTGGATTTTTTTTAACCTGATTAAGTGCTTCTGACTGATTCACTTTTAGTAAGGGTACCAAACTTTTTGTCTCCATTGATAACACAAAATCCTTATAAAAGTTTGCATTTTTGTATTTAAATTTGTATAAATCGGATACATTTTTGATAGTGAACACCACTCGGCATTGGACTGCAGTGGTTAGCACTCGTGCTTCACACCAAGGAGGTTTCCCCGCTCCCAAAGGAGTGAGAGGACAAATGCCCAAAAAATAACAATTGTAAACCGCTTTGTGACTCTGGTCTGTGAAAGGCGGTATATAAATAAAAATTACTTGCTTACCTTCAGGTGCTCCGGTTAACATGTAAAAATATGTACAATGATTCAGGGTGAGAATGTGTTTGTGAGTGTGAGTGTGAGATTGGGGGACGACAGATGGAAATTAGCCCAGGCTACACCTGGCATGTTTACAGCACTGCTGTGCATTAAAACACACAGTCCCAATCAACTAAACAACTGAATAAATCAACATGTGTTTTTCTATGTCACAACACAGTCTTCATGTTATTAGAGAACACACTTGTAAGAAGCTTCACAGAAACTGTTGACCCTTTGGGCTGACAGCTGATTGGCTGAGTGAGGATGGTCCACTCTTTTTCACTTCTGCCTGAAAAAGCTGGTATAATATTGCCAATAGAAACTAGTGATAGTTTTAAGAGAGAAGAACCAGTTTGACAGGTTTTATTACATACTATAGTTACATTTCCATGGTTAGGAGTTGGGTATCCCAACTTTAATGACGTATGTTGGTGTAAATTCACTAAATTCACTGTTTTTTCCACAAACAGAGAAAGACAGTAATTGGCCACATCTCTTCTGTTTTATTTGTAAACTGAAAATGCAGGGCACCAAATAGATCCAATCAAAGCAGAAATGTACCTCTGCAATCATGAAGTCCACGTTCTTCTTGATGAAAACGTCCAGCTGTTTCTTGAAGATGCCTTTCACTTCAGTCTCGCTCTTGCAGCTCAGGTAGGACGGGGTCTGGCACACTCCTCCGGCCACCAGCGCATCGCCCTCATTGGCCACTTCACGAGCCAGATCACACGCAGCCTCGTTGATCTGAGCTCCCTGGTAACAAAACATTTTAAATGTTTTTCAACGTTTTAAATCTGTAGTCTATGTAAAAATAGAATATAGCCCCTTTCACACATAAGGAAAATAATGGCACATAATTATTATTCTAATTACCAGCAGCAACATTTCAAAGGGACATTTATTTAAAATTAGATTTAGATTAGATGTAAGCATACACAGACACAGATACATACACACACAACCCCAAATACATACACACAGTCACACACCTGCACATATTAACATTTACCGATGTGAAAGAATATATAATTATGATAATAGTATTTAGTTAATAACTGTTCTTTTCTGACCAGCAGGGGTATTGTGTATGAAAAATTGCAGTGAAAATAAAACAATTTAAATGCATACAATTGCCTGTGCTACAATATTCTGTTACAAAAACTCACTGAGATTCTGAGATTTTGACCCCTGTTTTCCAGTTTGTCGTCACTGGCGTAGAATGTGAAAGTTTGCATAACATTGGAACCAGCTCGCAAGAACTCTCTGTGAAGCTGCCTCACTGAAACACACAGAGGGAAATAAAAATTATGTTGGACATTGTGTTAAATGACCATACAAAATAGAAAACTCCACCTGCAATATTTCACATTAGATGGGTCAATGGGTCGATTCATTATAAAGTAAATTATTTATATTTATAACAGTAAAAAGGCTCAAGATGGCAGAGTCAAGTGTAAATTACATAATGATACAGGGCTTCTACTTTATTCTGAATTGTGTGTGTGGTGCAACATTTTATTACAGTATTGTGTATACCAGTAACTTTATCTTACACATAAGATAGTAGGAATGATAATTAATACTTATATAGCTAAAACAGGAAAATCATAGAAACATACTGAGGCTACGTAGAAACATCATTTAAAGCTGGGGTATCTACATTTATTTGTTTCATAAATGATAAATGTTATTTGTCCCAACAAAAAGAGTGACTAATTAAGGGTGGTTCTCTCTATTTAAACATTTCTGTCTGAAAAAGCCGATCTAAAGATGTGACAATAGGCCAAAAGATGCATGTGAAAACTAGTGACAGAACTGAACTGTTTTAGAGCCTGTATTTTATGACATAGTTTACTTTTTCTGTGTTTTGTAAGTTATGCACCCCAGATTTAAGTAGCGTCAGTGGTTCGAATAGAAGCTGTGTAACCCACCGGCTTCTGGGTGTGTGACAGTGGCCTCGGGGGTCCATGGTCCTGCCTTCACGTAGCCCCTCTTCTCCAGGGCAAACACAAAGCCTCCATCACCAATCACCACCTCGCCTGCGTTCAGCCGCTCGATGATTCCCTGAAGAACAAAAAATTACATTGACAATTACTACATACTTTTAATAAAACTCTCATTTTGAAATGTTGACATGGAGCAAGTAATGTGGTCATGATTCGACAATGACTTAAGTGAACAATGTATAATACTTTCTGAAATGTGTCTAGTTGTGATGTTAGTGATGCATGCAACTGAAAGATAACAGGATTAGCAATTTTCCGATCGGGAGCATTGAAGGATTTCACTGCAGATCATTTTATAATTAGTATTTCACATTACTCTCACGTTTTACCTTTTTTGGCATCTCTTCTTCCAGTTGCAGCACTTGTCACAGTGAACCCACTTTAGACCAGACAGGACTTGGGAGGATTTTGTGATCTGTTTTATAGTGCTGAGTGGAAATGGGTGGATTTCAGTTCTATGCCAGATCTAAGGCACATATTTGTTTTATGTAACTCCGTCTGGTCCACTACTCATGGCAGGTTGGTACGGGTTCTGTTAAGGCAAGGGCTTCTGTCTGTTTAATAATTATTTTGGCAATTCAAGGAATGTGGGTCACCAGTTGAAATATTAACTAAAACAAGGTTATTACAGTCAAAATTGTATACTATAATAAAAACAAACTGAATTCGCTCTTCTTGGTGTATTGCAAATAGAGGATTTGCATGTTGAATTTTGAAGCAATTGCAGATAAAAAGGAGAATCACACAAAGTACCAAACTTTGAAAGGATGAAGTTTTCACACATCACACTTTCACACTATATGGAACTGGGTAACCCCCCAACACTTCACTTTGCCTCACATGTGCAAAAGCAAACACTCGTCACTCCACAAACAAAGCAAATTCATTTTGAAGCCAGAGCTGCCCTGGCACATACTGACAGACACCCAGCCCTGACAATTAGCAAATTTATTTGAGCATGATTTAAGAGAGAGAGACTCAGAGAAAGAGAAAATCTATAATTTGATAACGATTGATTCAAAAGTGGTGAAATTGTCATTGGAACAAACCTAGGGACAATGGTTACCACAGTGGGAGCTGGACCAGGAGCTGTGGCACAGGACTCATACTGGGGTCACAGGAAGATTTTTAGATGGAAAGAAGCTAATATACCTAAGAGAGCACATCAAACAAGCAACAGTGTAGTTCATGTAATATGTTTCGATGCTTCACATTATTGCTTCCTTTGATTGCAAGTCTGATTTGTACTTATTTTGGGGGTTCCTGTCTGAAAGGTTTGGAACCACTGCCCTCGGAGCCCTGTGTAATACAGTAGTGAAACAAGCAGAGTATCTCAGGTCCGACAGTCAAACAAACAAACCAGCCCTGCACTCCCTGTTCTTTGTTTTAAGGACAATTTCGACATAATCCATTTTTCAACTGCAGTGTTAGATTAAACAAAGTAACTGTGAATTAAGAAGCAAGTATACATCTTTCTCTATAATTGTATGATTCCAAATATGAATATGAATGGCTGAGGGTTTTTTCTAGTTTTCCAATATTGATTGGTGAAGGGATATCTATCTGTGACTCGGCACAAAGCCTATTTTATGGGAGAGAGGTTATTGCTCTATTCTTCTGCAGGCTTCTCCAGTCCAAGCACAGGTCTCTGGTGTTACGGGTGTATTGACCTTCGGCGCGGTGGCGTGGAGCTGTGTCTTTACTGGGTCTATCCAGTTTAAGGGAGATGGTGACAGGTCTGTGTTGTTTATCAACAGAGCCAAAGTCCAGATGAACCACTGCAATCTGGGACTCACTGCAAAAATCCAACACTTCCATAGTTTTAAGACAACGTTGAAAGCATGTGTCCATTCGGGTTTATGAGCGGCGCTATCAGCAGAAATAGCTCTGATGTTTCAAGTGTCAGTAAAGTGCTGACTCCACATTCCAGATGGACCACAAGTGTCCACTGGAACGGGGTGGAATGTAAATGCATTTCGTCCAGCCGCATTGAACTTTGACATCATGAAGACCCTCCACTGATGCAACAGTTAGGCGTGTAAATGGTCATGATATAATGATGAAAAATAGAATCATGTGACATGAGGTTAATGTGGAGCAAATGGAAGCTGGAACGAGGGACTCTGACAAAGCTGAAGTGATGCCTCTCTAGAAAATCTTCAAGAGAGAATGGATTTTTTAAAAAAAACTGCTTGTTTGATTGAAAATCAATTTCTGTAGTTGTGCCACAATTACCCGTCAAAACACCATTTCATAGCATGTTTTGGTGAAAATCTTTGAATACTAAAATAGTTGAGCCACCTGAAACATTTTGTTGTTGGTCTCAATATTAATCAATGTATACATTTTGTTTATCACATGGGGAAGTGTTACGGTCCTGTTAATAAGACTGTAAATTGGTCCTATTTTGGATTTAGTATGTTTTTGTGATTGGAGAACCACTAGACCTCCCACCTCCCAGAAGTCTGTGACTAAGGTGCTGATTGGAGGATCAGCGGTCCACCTGGCCAATCCAGCTCCCACACCTGGAGTCCCTCTGTACTTAAGGCCACACTCCACACCTCCACACTCCCACACTGGTATGCCATTTGGTCCTCATGAAAATGTCTGCCATTATCACAAGGGGTGCTTTTTTTTGGTTTATCTCATTTTTGTTGTCACTTTGAGGTTTTGTTTATGTGACAATTTGCATTTGTTGAGACAGCAATAAGTTTGGGGTTTAAAGTTTAGACCAGGCATGTCCAAACTCAGGCCCGGGGGCCAATTGCGGCCCTCTGTGTAATTTTAGTTTGGTTTGGTAACAGTGAGTTACCCCATTATGTCTTGTATTGTGTCTACTTATAATTTATATTCCTGTTATTATTAAAAACTTGCTTTGCCATTTAACATCTTGGATTTTTTGTTTCCTCCCTTACCCTAGCAGAGCTGGGTCGTAGAAGGAAGATTTTTTTTTTTATAGATATTTTCTGTGGATGATGATGGTGATTATTATTATTATTATTATTATTATTATTAGGACACTACTTGTAGTTATGTTGCAGGAGCTCAACTTCAATTAACGATTTGGATCATTTTGGTTTTAGAGCAATTTTGTTATATTGCCACCAAGTACAACCAAGTACTTAATCTGTTTACTTGGGCTGATATCCGCATAATTTAATTTCTCTAGACACATTTCAGCTATTTCAGACATACAAAAGGGAGAGGGAAAGCAGTCTTATATTTCTCTTTGTGTGCAGAACTAGTTCACGCAGGCTGCAGCTGGAACTACAGTAAATATCCTGAGAGAAGTAGGTGGCCGAGAGGTGGGGCAATGCACTGGTCTTTGGGTGAAGAGGCTGGGAAAGTGCCAGATTTGTGGTGATTAATGGTGAGAGCAGTAGAGGAGCTGAATAAACCTCTGAAAACCATACATTTTTAGGGGACAGCATCTATAAAGTGAATAACATGGGCTGACACTTAACAGCTCAGTTAACTATTAAGATGAGATGACTACTGCTAATGACTACTATGACAATTATTACACACTACTGCACATCATTTTTTTCTTTTTGAGAAGTTTTGACGAACGATTCAGGGAGCATATAGATACATTAATCTAAAGTGTTCTGCAGAGGTCTATTTTAGAGGCCAAACTCACCAACAGCTCTCACAAGCGTTTCTGTGTCCCCTCGTGTTGGTTTATCTCCACCCTTTGCCACGGCCCAATCACAGCTCAGCCTGGAGTCAATGCTGGAACACATCTCCATGGATTTTAGGCTTCTGTGAGATAATGCAGTAAATGGTTAGCTGGGTGATTGATCCATATGTCAGCCATATTTAAGCTTTTATTCAGAAAAGAAAGTTTTTCACTTCACTACAATTTTGAAAAATTTACTCAAGATATAAAATGTTACTATCTCCATAGAGAATGTTTCAAAGTTGAGTGTTTACTTTTCTCTTGAAGCTTTTGGGTTTAATAAAAAAAGGTCAAAAATGATAATCATATTTTTACATTTAACTTGGTCAATGATCGCCAGAAACAAAGACAGAGAGTGTTATCCATCACCTCCAGTCCTTCTCCCTAAAACCCTCAAATCACGTCAGAAATGATGAGGTAACAATAGATTCAGACTTACATTTCAATAATAACAGTAACCTCTGGAGCTTTTTCTAAAGACATTGCCAGAATTTATAGTGACTAAAGCTGACCCGGAGAGCCCAATCCATGCATTTGTCTTAGTAGGTTAGACTAATGTAACAACCTGCTCACTGGCCTCTCCAAACAGGTTCTAAAAGAGCTGCAGCTCGAACCAGGAAATATGATCAGAATAGTCAGGTCAGTTCCAGTTCTCTCTCTGCCTCTGATAAAATATGGAACAGTCTTCCTGAAAATGAGAGGCAGGCTTCTACTCCAGGTTAAAAAAAACTTCTGTTTACCTGTGCATACAACTGAAGGAGTGTGTGTCTTTTTAATGTACTGTGATTATTTATCTTTCTAAAGTTTATTTTCTTATTTTGTGTATAAACTGGGCTTTCTGCGTCTCATAAGAAAATGTGACGTATAAAATATGATCCATACATTCTTGTAAGAAAGAGCCCATTATTCGACCCTCTCTTTGCTGATTGGTTGGCCATAGTGGTCTTCTCCTTATCACTTTTCTGTCTGGAAAAGTTGAAACACGTGATAACTAGTGATGCTACCAAACTATTCTGAGAAAATAGGAAATAGTAAGACGCATTTCACAAAATTCAAGCGGTTGTGCTTTGAATATAGATAATGATCTTGAAGTTGCATATTACAACGTTGAAAGCCATGCATGCACATTTAGCATTGGTATGATACTCTTGTTGCCCATTGGCCTCTATGGCTGGGCCCACATTCTAGTGGGCAGCATTATGTCATTGGTCACTGGATGTGTTTAAGTCAGAGAAAGTAACCACATTAAATGTAAGCCTAAATACGAAAGCAAAATACAGCAAACCAACTCTCCCTACCCCTTTCTTCATGTTAGGTGCAGAGTAGACAGTTTTCCCGCAGGGGGCGCACTTCTGTTAGTAATAAACAAGCAGCACATTCAGCAGACCTGCACATTCTGCATCAGTTTATGAATGACACTGCTTTTTATTTCACACAGTCATCTTGACATTTCTTTTGATAAACATTCACAAATCAGCATGATATACCTTGATTGTACAACTTTGTGAATATGATCAACTTTACTCGATATGATAGCGAGATATAGTTAAAAATGAGAGTCAAAACAAAGGGGCCGGGTCGCGTGTGGCAGGTGACGCACGTGCTTCTGATTGGCTTTTTATTTGAGGTATGTTAATGAGGGGGGCGGGCCCAAAGTGAAAGAGTACGTGACGTCAGTTCCCCCATTCTCAGTAAGCGAAACAAACATGGCGGTAGACTCGAGTGGAACACGGTTATGGGTAACTTTATTCATATTTACCTGCGCTTTGGCGAGAACCCAGACTGCTGTGACCGGCCAGGAGGTGAGGCTCCCAGCTAGGATTCTCGGCATGAGGCTGGAGAGGAGCGACAAGCCGGCTGCCACCACGGATAGAGGGGTAGTCCAGGTGACCGAAGGCAGTGACATCCTCCTAAGGTTCTACGGGCTGCACTTGCTCCCCAATAGCTCTGGTCTGGTCCGATTTACGGAACTTTACTCCAGCGAAAATGAGGATGAGGATGATCTGGGTGCCATAGACATGCAGTTTAACAGGACTTGTCCAGAGCCTACTATAGATGTCATTGTGCGTAAAGGCATGAATACTTCTAACCACAACACTGCTGGAGTGGTAAGCGTGCGCGTAAAGCAGCTGCGTAAAAGTGAAGTAGCCAAAGTTTTTGGATTGTGTGTGAGGGAAACCCTGGAAGATGAAAAGTGGCAACTTCTGGATGAGATTGATGGCAGGTTGCGTGTTGTTGAGGAGAAAAAGTCGCTCCTTCCATTGTGGCTGCAAATCATCCTCATCTGTTGCCTTTTGGTCCTGTCTGGTATGTTTAGTGGGCTTAACCTTGGGCTGATGGCACTGGACCCAATGGAACTACGCATTGTGCAAAGCTGTGGTACGGACAAGGAGAAGAAGTACGCAAGAAAGATTGAGCCCATTCGCAGGAAGGGTAACTACCTGTTGTGTTCCCTTCTTCTTGGGAACGTCCTTGTCAACACTACTCTCACAATCCTGCTTGACGACCTCATAGGCTCAGGTCTGGGAGCAGTGGCCGCTTCCACTGTTGGCATTGTCATTTTTGGAGAAATTGTCCCCCAGGCTCTTTGCTCCCGTCACGGTTTAGCTGTAGGTGCCAACACTATACTCCTCACCAAGCTCTTCATGCTTTTGACTTTCCCGCTGTCATGGCCCATTAGTAAACTCTTAGACTGTGTTTTGGGTCAGGAAATAGGCACAGTTTATAACAGGGAGAAGTTGGTGGAGATGTTAAGAGTGACAGAGCCCTATAATGATCTTGTCAAAGAGGAACTCAACATGATCCAGGGAGCTCTGGAGCTAAGGACTAAAACTGTTGAGGATGTCATGACTCCTATTAGTAACTGCTTTATGATTCACAGTGGTGCATTATTAGACTTTAACACCATGTCAGAAATAATGGAGAGTGGATACACAAGGATACCGGTCTACGAGGGAGAGCGATCGAATATAGTCGACATTTTGTTTGTCAAAGATTTGGCTTTCGTAGACCCAGATGATGCAACCACCCTCAAAACCATCACCAAGTTCTACAACCACCCAGTGCATTTTGTGTTCCATGATACAAAGCTGGACTCCATGCTGGAGGAATTCAAAAAAGGTGGGTGAAAAATGCAAAAAAGCCTGACACATGTGACAAATATTATATTTCATTTTTGTGGGGATTGTTGTATTGACCGGTCTGTGGGCTTTTGCGTGGGTCTGGTGAAATAATGTGACTTCTGTTTATAGAGTTCACTTAAACAAAATCAGTATTATAGCTTGGACACCTGACTTTCAAACCAATGATAATGTATCTATGTAATCAAATCCACTTTTTTGAGCATGAGCAAAACAGTTCGATCAATAGTTTTCACTTGCATGTAGTTTTTTTTGAGGGGGCGACAGTAGCTCAGTTGGTAGCTCAGTTGGCCTTTAGGCCTTAAGGTTGTGGGTTAGTTTCACACCTCGACACCTTCTTCACTGACTCCCACTGATGTCTGCTGTCGTTGTGTCCTTGGGCAAGACACTTAACTTCACTTTGCCCGAAGCCCCCGCTGAAAGATCTCAGCTCCTGTGCACTCACCACCTGCAGGAGGATCAGTGAGGGACTGGTGCTCTGTGAACTGGGTGCAGCTCTGACTGCCACCCCCCTGACCCAGAAATGGATTAAGGGGAAGAAAATGGATGGATGGATGTAGTTTTGGTCACAGTATTGGTTACAGCTTTCGAATCAACTATTTCAGATAGAAAGTGAAAAACTGACCATCCTCACTCTGCCAATCAGCTCTCAGCCTTGTGAGTCAAATAGTGACGAAAAAAAAAGTTCGCAAAAGATTCTTTCTATTATGGAGAGAAAACAGATAGGTACCTGAGCGTTTACAGAACGAAGTAAACATTTTATTTACGGCATTAGTGATTCATTGATTGGTCAAACGAAGATGCATCTAATGTAATATACATCTAATCCCATATTGGGGAACATTCCAGAGGAAGGCAATCAAACCATAAAAGGACATATGGAACATATTTGTGCTCTTATAATAGAATATGCACAACAGGGGAATGAATAAATAATAGATCATGTTCTATACTTTTCCATTACGCTAGAGGAAACTCTATGAACTTAGTGCACATTTCTGAGCCCTGTGGTCGTCTTTGAGACTGTTTAACACACTTCTCCACTGACCTCCTTCACTCTCCCTCGTACAAACACTCTGCGTCTCTGGAGCCGCCCCCCACAGGGAGATATTTTCATTTTCTCAAGCCTCTCATCACAAGGTCACAGACGGTAGAGGCTCGTGCTGTGTGCCGCGGGTAAACGGGGGCTGCCACTGACTCGTGGTGAGAAAGCCTGGTGGAACTTCACTTAAATGCACTGGCGTATAACGAGAGAAGTGATACACACATCTAGGGCTGTAACTACCAATTATATTGATAATCAATACATCTATTCAGTGATTATTCTTTTGGTTAATCAATTAGTTATTTAGAAAGCAAATATGGTATTTTATCTCTGTTTGAGCTAGAGTTGTCAAAACAAGTATCAAAATAACTATTTACAAAGTCAGAAAGTATAACTACTAAAAATAATGACATGATCATTAAGACCACTTAAAAGTTATTGCTTTGGCATTGAAATTGGCATTGAGCATTTTTGTCTATTATTAAAGCTAAACTGAAGCCACCTGAGAACATCCTCATAAATATACACACAAGAAAAGTACATTTTTTATGTACTTGCTACTCTATTTGACCCCTAACATAACACATCTTTTAATGTGTTGGAGTCTTCATTACTAAAATATTGTTTTAATTATTGGTAAAAACTGTATCTGTTGCAATTAATTGACCAGATCCAAAGTTCACTACTTTAGTGTAGACAACTACATATGAGTCTATCATAAAATGCTAAAATGTGAAAAAACTGTGCAATTACTATAGTTAAAAAAACGCAGGTAGTGCACCTCTCTTTTTCATTAACACTTTTTGTTTGTCCCTACACAAAGAGGGAAAATGGTGTGGACAAATCAGACCACCACATGCTCTTTTAAGATTCATAGATCCTTTATCCATTCCACAGCTCATGAGGAACACACAACACAAGACAAAAGAACAGTAACTATATACTAAAATATAATACAATAGACCTTCCAGCGTTAGGAACATAGACTGTATATATTAACGGACAGAGTCACGCCTATCTCCGCCGTTCTAACTAATGGGCGAAAAAATGTGCTCTACTGGAGCAATCCAAAATGGCCGCGAGTGGTCCAGCCGGCGCAACTCCATTCATTTGAACGAGAGACTTCAAAAATTCACAGTGAGTAAACTAGAGTGGACCAAAAAAATCCACCCTCCTCAGCATTGACACACATGTGGAACAGAGCTTTGGGCCAAGAGCCAACTTTTGGTCCATCCTGTAAAGACGTTTTTGAGAGGTCTGCCAATGCTATATGTTAGCATTGGCTAATTCTACATCTGGGTCCACCCCCATTGGCCCGGGGTGGTATTGCAAGCACGTCAGCGCACGTCATTTTGGCCACTTTTGAGCTGGGACCCGCCCCCACTGGTTAGGAAGCAAATCTGAAATCTCTAACTTTAGCCTAATAAAGAAGCTTATTATTAGAAAACATGATATTGTTTGCATACTTGTAAGACAGCCCTGTGAGTCACTGTTTAATGCTTTGGGCTGAGATCTGATTGGCTAAGGGTGGTCCTTTTCACTTTTTTGTCTGAAAAAGCTTACCTAAAGATGTAACCAGGGTCAAACATACATTCATGTGAAAATTAGAAATAGACCCAAAGTTGCAAGGTCTAGGCTCATGTTTTTTTTCTTGCAAAGTTACATTTTCTTTAGGTTTAGAGTTTCTCCTCGTCTCTGCGTCCTGCTCCTTGGTTACAGTCTTGATCCCTCACATTTTCTCTTTGCTCTCTTGCTGCCATGACGATGGCAGCATCAGACGCAGCTTGTGTTTGTGGAGCATGAGAGTCCACTGAACTGTTGACATTTAGTGACTGTGTAGGACGCCTGTTGCACAATGTCTTTCTATAACTGCTGCCATCCTTCACATTTACAAACCGTGACCTTTAAATGATCTTATTAGAGGCTATGAATGTTTGATGACACCCCAGGCAGTGGCAAAAGGTTGTTGATGAGCTAAGGGAATACACACAGGTGGAACACAAGACTTAATATTTGTTTTTGTATATTTATATAAACCCTGCTATCTATACATATTGACATTGATGTTCATGTGGATATTTTGCATTTTATATTTAATATTTTGAGTTAAAACACACACTGAATCCAACTTTGAAATCACTCCGGACTTATCCAACATATTGTTAAAGGAATTCAATGTTTCCTTAGTATAGGACTGGAAATAAATCAAACTTTGCTTCGTTTCGCTAACATTCGTCTGTGTGAAACTATTACAATCATGAACTAGAGATCAAGATAAAGTGCACGTCTCTTGGTTTGTCTGGTATTATTATTATTACTATTATAGAAGTATTTTGGTTCTTCTATACCAGACAATAGTAGATTAGTGATGTCATTACCTTGACAAGTGCAAGTTTCTTCTACACAATGAACACAGCGCACAGTTATAATTGCACTAATGTATGCTTGATCCAGAAATTGTAGAAAACTGAATAATTTTAAGGCAAAAAGATGTAGCTCTTCCAGCTCAGGTTAATAATTGGCTGCAGGTGCTGAGTTCTGACTTGTGACGATTAACCCAGCTAGATTTCACAAAAAAGGGAATCCTAAATGACGTATGTGATGCTTGTCCTGCTTTGTCTTCTGTGTTGCAGAGGATGGCAGTGGTATTGTATCACACGGGTGGTTTCCCCACGTTTCCATTTTTTTAATTAACAATGCTAATTATTGGTCTGGTCCAGCACACTGGTCAAAACAACAGTGATACAACACAACTAGATTTGTAAGAAATAAATGGATTCACTTTGTTGTGTAACCTTTTGATAACAGATTACAGTTGATTCCAAAATAAAGGGGTATGCTAGAAAATGCTTTGCCTCCTGCCAAATCTTGATTCAAACAGCCCAGTGTATTTGTGAAAGTAAAGGGTGGATTGTCACATGTCATGTCCCCACATCTTTTGAGCCCAAAGGAAACTAAGCGATTAGGGCTGGGTCTCTCTCAGGGCTAAAAAGTCTATTTGAAGAACATGAAGATCCAGTACCTTTCACCCGACGTTACACATAAGCTATTGTGTGTGTATCATCGAATACAATCTTGCTATTTATTTGTATTTTATTGTGAATTAACAACTTTGTATACAACAAAACAATTCTGTGTTAATTGTCCCAATACCTCAAACGTCTTCACTGATTATCGAAGAACCAATTCCAATAATTATCAGTACAATATATCAATATTTCAATATTCGATCACTGACAGTTATAATTATATTGTAATTAGCTGGTGGAAAATGTAACTTTTTTGGAGGAATTTCTTGGAATTCCAATGGTTTGAATGGGACCCGTCTCAGTTTCATCATTCCTAAAGTCATTGTGCAGCCCCTTTCATCCCGTCCCTTCATAGTTCTACGCCCTAGATCCAGTCGGTTTCACTTCAGTCACTCACCAAAGTCATAGCTCTAACCCATTGTTCTTTGTTCCAAACTATTCAAATGTTGAGCTTCATTACACTCACTGCTTCATGTCACTGCTTGGTCATACATTGTTGTAAATGTCTAACAGCGTGACTCATTTGGATGCACATCCCTGGGTTCTTCCCGTTTTGAACTTCAGTGACCTGTTCTGTTGGTGGTTGCCATGTCTGTCTACATTGACCACTCTTTATCAGGGATTCAGTGTTTATCTCATAACTCCCATTGGTTCAAGATTAAATGTTCTGTGTTGTCAAACTGCTGTCTGTCTCTCCAATATTAGTGCTGTAGGCGTGGTGCTGCTAAGATACGAAAATACATCCCAGGGATAGTGCATATATTTAATGTTTTTCTTTATCTAATGCTCGGTTGTGCCATCAAAGGGGTATTTCCATTGCATGTATTTTGCAGCAAAGACATCCGTTTTTTTCTGCTTGTTTTGTCTGCTTGTTGACCCTGCAGGCGCCAGACACCGAGACAGACA